CTAGTCACGTCATAAATTCTGTCACATGTTTAATGTAAAATAATTGAAACAAGTTTAGTCATTATGTAAACATTCATATACCAAAATGATCTTAACAAAACATAGATTCTTATGACACTAAAGTTTATTCAAAATGACCTCCGTGATTTTGAATACAGGCCTTCAATCTGCGCGGCCAGTCGTTTATCACAGCACGAACGAGGTCCATGTCAATATCGGCGGCTGCCTAATCAAGGATGTCTTAAGTGACTCCAAATTGGGATGAGGCTTTGAGCACGCCTTTTCCTCCAAGTGTTGCCATATCTTGTAATCTAACAGATTCAAATCTGGACTGGAGGAGGGCCAGTCTTCGTGCCGGATGAAGTCGATTTCACGCGCCGCCAGCCAGTCTTATGTGCTCTTCGCTCTATGAGCTGGCGCCGAATCTTGTTGGAATACCCAGTGCCTGTTATTGAACATGGTATGAGAAACAGGTTCCACAAGGTTCGTCAGGACTGTATTTTGATACACAACTGCATTAGTTTTTACACCTTTCTCACAAAAATGTACCTCTGTTAAGCCCCAATAAGAAACTCCCATGAGCGAGGATGGAAAACGACCTCGTTAGACATGCGGAATACGGTTGCTCGCTTCTTCACTACTGTGTGCGTACTACACCTTATCATTTTGTTTGTTGTAGCTCTCTTCTACGGTAAAAATTTTTTTATCCGAAAAAACGAATTTCCCGATATTTTTTTCCCGCGTACCGCTTCAACAAAGCGCAGAATCTCTTCAGTCTCAGGTCCATTAGACGAGCATTCAAACGATGTCCTGTTTTTCTTCGATATGCCCGAAGCCCTAAGTCTTCATTTAACACCCTTTTCACCGTGGTTCTGCTTAACCCCATCTGAAGGGCCAACAGTTTCTGCTTACGTTTGGGATTTCTTTGAATTCGCGCCTTCACAGCTTTTATCACTGCTGGAGTCCTAACAGACCGAGGGCGACCACTTCTTGACCTGTCATCTACACTAGAGTCTTCATTGTATCGTTTGATGGTACGATAAACGAATCTTTTGGTTATATTCAAATTTTTCAGTATGTTAAAAATTTGAATTGGCGCGTAACCGCAACGATGCAACGCAATAACTGCAACACGGTCTTCTTTAAGCGTCCACTCCATATTTAAAAATGAGTAAAATTCTAAAAGTATACATTTTTATTTTCATGAACAATTCGAAATTCGAATTCAATAAACTTTTTTGTGGCCAGCATTCTCAAAGAAAAGTTTTTACTGTGTGACAATACTTATGGCCTGACTAGTTATATTATGGAAAAAAGTACCTATAGTATATCATCAAAAATAGTGAATAAGGAAATCCGTAAATTGTAATTTCCTTAAATCAAATTTATTAATTTCAATAATTTAAAAATAAACTGTATATACCATAGGTGTGGAAACAACACAGCGGATTTTTGTAATAAAATAAAATTAAAAAACCAATCCGTAGAACCCCATCTAGCAACGACGTAACATACAGGAAAAATCTTATGAGATTGATTAAACAATAGACTTTAGAAACTTTAAAATGTTCTATATCATTGAATGCCGTGCTATTTATTTAAATTGACTATGAAAATTTAATTTCAATTTATTTTTCAGATTAAAAAACGCTAATTACTCGATCGTTCGAAGTAACCCATTGATCGGAAAATACGTACAAGTAAAACAATTTGAAGTACCCGTTTTCAACCAGTAGGTATCAAATACTGGACGCTATGCCCATCCATTAGTAAGACTTTATGACTGTATTCTTTTTCTATTTCTTACTGGTGGTAGGACCTCTTGTGAGTCCGCACGGGTAGGTACCACCACCCTTTTTTTTTTAACGCTGGGGAATCCATTTACGGATACCCGGTCGGGGGGGTAACGGACCGGTTTATGTCGGAGTCCGAGAAGAGAAGGGCCGAGGTCCTTCACCTCCCCCAAGGTGCCACCACCCTACCTATTTCTGCCGTGAAGCAGTAATGCGTTTCGTTTGGAAGGGTGGGGCATCCGTTGTTGAAGTTGGCATCATAATGTTAAAATCAGGGGACCCTAAGTTGAAAACAATAGTTAAGATAATTAAATCTTAGGCAAGCTTTCTCACCAGCCCCTAAGGTACTTGGTAAATATAGATATAGGTAATCGTTTTTCTTTTTTTAATATGTAAAAAGGAAGCACCGTCATCAACTTATTTTTAAACTGCCAATGAAGCTAAATCCGTTCGTTGGCAGGTCTGAATTAGCCGTAACATCATCACCACTGAATCTAATAGATGGTCTTACAACGGTAAAGTATAAAGTCAACGATTTTGAGCTGAAATATATATTCACCTACATTAACATATCCCTCGAAGATGATTTTGCTAGTACGATGGAATATCCGAAAGTGAATTCTACTTAAACACAAAATAAATATTTAAAAACTTATCTGTTTTTTTTTCCTCTAAACGTAACCAAGTGTGTTATTTAATAAGGTGATTTAGATAAAGTTTATGCTTCTCGATGTTTCTGCGATTTTAAGAATGCTCCAAGAATGAGATGAGGTGTGGTGAAGATGAGGTGCTTAAATGCGACAAAATAGTACATTGTGCACCGCGGGAGAAAAGTAGGACATTTCCTCCCGAGTGTAAAATTGCAAACACGCGGGATGAGTCCTACTTTTTTCCCGCGGTGCACATACTATTTTTTCTCCTACTAGGCCGAAAGTTCGTGGAGTACCGAGCCGGGGTCCAGGGGCGAAGCCCTGGTAGGGGGTAGGGGGGAGCCCCCCCATACTCATAAAAAAACAATTTAACTGTTTTTTAATTTTTAAATAAATTACTACTAATTGAATAAGAACTGTCTGAAGAACTCATCTTTGTTTAATACTTCACTATTAAATTTTATTGCCTTTTGTTTATTTCACTTTTACACTAAACACATTATTGCAAATTACCCGAGCACAACAATGGCGGAGAATTTTAGGTGCGTAAGAGCAGACGTAGATACTAACGCGCATGTGCACTTGTACCCAGGGAGGAAAACTTACACTTTCTTCACTGAACAGCGGGAGGAAAAGCTAGACTTTCTTCCCTGTACAGCGGGAGGAAAACCGAACTTTCGGCGTAGGTAGGAGAAAAAAGTCTAAATAGACGTCCTAGGGCCTCTGTATTTATGCATTTATCTCCTGTCTTCAACCTCAATTTAAGAAATGATCTGTCTTCAGTGTGCTTCATGCCTTATTATGCCTTTATACCTTTTATATATTTTATTTGCTTGTACAATTTGTGAGTCATTTTATGTTTAGTTCTGCTAGCTGCTAGGTACTAGTGACAAATATGAAGGAGCTTTGATGGCAATGCCAATAATAGATTTTAGGGTGGCACATAATCTAAAATAATTAATTTTCCGAGGCTAGCTATAGAGCCAATATTTCTATTATAACAATACTTCCCATGGCATGTTTCCCACTGAGTTTCTCGCCGGATCTTCTCAGTGGGTCGCGTTGCCGATCCGGTAGTAGATTCTGCGAAGCACTGCTCTTGCTAGGGTCAGTGTTAGCATCACTCCGGCTTGAGCCCCGTGAGCTCACCTACTAGTTAAGGTTACGCTGAAATAGCCTCTCAAGGCTATCTATCAGATTAGGTAGGAAAAAAAATGGCATGTTTGTGTTCTTTTTTTTTTTTTTGTATGACTGCACATGTTATTATCTTTTTCATGTATCTTTTTAAATTGCAATATTATTTATAGGATTTCTGTACATAATCGTTTTCCGTTTTATATTTTGCGAAAAAATGAACTTTAAAAGAATGACATCATAAGAAACTACACATTGCCACACTGAAAAAAAATAGAACTTCCAATAGTGACATATGACACAGTGACAGTATTAATTAACAAGATTTAGTCTATACATAATCTGTGACGCGATTGCTAGGTTCAGTGTTTTTTCAAGATTTGTGGAAAAAATATATTCATGTTAATTTTTTTTGAAATTAAATACTTTTCGCCCCATTCTTTAAATTTAAATTTTACTAAACAAATAAAAATCATCATTCGTCATCATATCGAGCTCTTAAGTACTCTGTCCAAAATCATTAATATTTTTATAAAAACGATCGTCTTCTCCACTTTTTAAAAATTAAAGAGGTATACAATTTAATTAAATTGTTAGGTTTATTTATTTTTATTTTAATAAAATTTTTACATTCAACCAAATTCAGTTCTAGAAAAAATAAAAAGTATGTTTAAAATTATGCCTTTTCTTGGCTCGTCTGGGCGTAACTGGAATAGCCCCCAGCTAACAGCGAATAGGTAGGAAAAAAAATTATTTCTTAAATAAATAAAATATATAAAAATACTTTTTTTATTTTAACAATGCCGATACGTGTTTCTAAAATATGTTTGAATTAGTTATAATAATCATAAAACATAAACATTCGGCTTATTTTCAGTTCCCTATAGTTTGGTTGACAGATATATTTGACACGTGTTCATGGAACGGAAATGATATTCCAAAACTGATACGAAAAAGAAACCAGTACAGAAATTAATATAGGATTTAACCTGCGAGATAATGTAAAAATAGAATGCCTTTGAAAGTTTCACTTCCTCGAAACCTTTTTAGTGGTATTCAAGACAGATGAGCACAAGAATATTTATCTAACAACAACTGAATGGCATTGCTAAGAAGATATGAACAATGCTAGTGATGCATTCAAAACTATTAATGATCAACCCTTAGATCTTGCGAACTTTGATCTGAACTGGGACTACAAACGATACGGAACTGTTCATGATCAGATGTCCAAATATCCCATTTCTTCTATTTACTATTGCAGTTACATTTAAACATATCTTTTATTTGAAGGTTTTTGAAAAATAGTTGACATTAAAAGATAAAACAAGTGTAGGAACATTTTTTGGGGGAAATTTAAAGTTTGATCTACCAACTCCGTTCTATAAAAAGTAGATTTCTGTCATTTTCTGTTAATGTTTAATCTATGGCAAACTGAAGATTTTGTGAAAACAAAATAATTGTAAATTTTGTTAATAATTAAAACACAAGAGCATCTTAATGTACTGTTCTTTTAAATCAGAGAATAAAAAGCTTAGCAGCAATGAACTAGCTTTCGTATAAAAGTGTCTACCGATCTAAACAATGGCGTTTTTAGAGGTACAACATCTGAAATGATCTAATTTCATTATCTGAAAACGTTACGCCCATAATTTCAGTAGTATTTTTACTTTAAGGATTCTTATTTAAATATTAATTCTATTTTGAGCTGTCTTGTGCATATTGGATTAAACAAGAACTAGTTTGAGCTAGTTTACTCTACACTAATAAATGCATTACATTATTGTTTTTTAGTGGCGAAGATTTACTTTTTTTGATGTTCAAAACGGTGCTGACAACGGGAAGATCGCAGAGTGCCTTCAAGTAAGACAGTATCTTTTACTAGAAGCCAGAATTTGACTGACACCAAGGATATTATTCAACATAGTTAAATGACCGATAATATTCAGCAATAAACTTTACATTGTGCTGAAATAATGCAACAACATTTGTGTACACAGCCTAGACTTAATAAGTTACACTTCACTGCCTAAACTTCAATCAGTGATATTAATCTTGTTCTTTAATAGTCACATCACTCGAATATACATATTTCTTTTTGCAAATTTGGAATCATTATTTTGTATTAATGTTAAGATTTATTAATTAAATGAAAGTATTATTTAATTATTTTTTACTGGTGGTAGGGATCCTTGTGAACCTGTACCCCCACCCTGCCTATTTCTGCTATGAAACAATAATGTGCATCAGTTTGAAAACTGAGGCAACTGTTGTACTATAAAACTGAGACTTAGAACTCATAGCTCAATGTGGGTAGGGGCTTTTATGTACTTGATATCTACGGACTCTTGTAACCACCCAACATCATGTGGGTCATTGATAATCCACAAATTTTAACTAGCGCAGTTTTAACAAGGTGAGTGTGCAACTTGGTGGACGTGAAAGAAGTGAAACTTCTTTTGCTGTGTGTAGTATTGTGGTTTTCTTCATATTTCATCCTTAAATCAAATTTCTCTGGTAATAGGGAATGCTGGGTTATAAGAGACACGACTAAGTTCGCTTTGTCCTTTCCCCCTCTATTTTCTTTTTACGCTCTGTCTATTTTCTTACTCTCACTCTTCCTAAATTGTAGCTTTTCTCTATAACCGTAATGATTTTGTCACAAGTTAAATATTACTCTCACCTAAAGAAGTTTCACTTTAAAAAAATTTATCTAAATTAATCGATCTACAAATATTTTGTTGCAGGATACAAATGTAACAGTTGCGACCAGTGGTAATGGTCAAGTTGTACTGTGCGATGACACAGGGTGGGCCCATTTGATTTCTAGGTTGTGGGCGATCACTTCGTTCAAAGCTTATGAAATAACTATAACACAAGCTCAGCAGTTACCACATGATCCTTATCTAGTTACTATAGGGGTGAGCAATTAATTATTTATTTAAAAAAGAAACAACAAATAATCATTTGAGTTAATTTCTTGTCACTAGAATAGGTGATTTATTAGTAGTTAATATTGTTGTTGTCAAATTTATTAGCTTTAATAAAACATATACTATATGATATAGATATGATATACTCAGTAGAGTAGAATTATAACCATAATTGTGTTTAATATAAAATGATTATCTTTCCAAAACAGGATGATGAGCCAGGTGTGAATCCCCTTATAAAAGTATGGGACTTGTCTCGCACTGATAGACATGGAAATCCTATATGCGTACGTGTTTCGAGAGCCGTTCCATCACATATGCGACCTATGCATGTCACAGCCCTGGCTGTTCACGAAAACAAAGTGAGTATACTGAATATATATAAAAATGAATTGCTGTTCGTTACTCTCGCTAAAACTCGAGAACGGCTGGACCGATTTGGCTAATTTTGATCTTGAATTATTTGTGGAAGTCCAGAGAATGTTTAAAAAGGTAGATAAATATGAAAATGCTAGGAATGAAATTAAAATAACAATTTTGTTTTTCCTTTGATGTGTCCTCTGTCGGACGGATTCCTTTTGTTTGTTTCAAGTTTATTTTATACAAAAGTTTAGGTCTTTTATTTATTGATTGAGGCACTACGAAGCCTGCCGGGTCAGCTAGTACTGAATATTTTTTTGGTATTAATGTTAGGAAAATAATCAGTATTGTCGGTGACATTCACATTGCCATGCCTACAGACTCCCGTCCACCTTCCTCATCTAAAATGTTTTTTACTAAACATTTTATTCCAGAATCTGCTGGCTGTAGGATTCCAAGATGGTTCAGTGGCCTTATACAGAGGAGACATAGCCAGGCAACGTAGCGGCAAGATGAGGACACTTGCTGAAACCGGCTCCAGCCCCATCACCGGTCTTGCCTTCAAGTAAATTGTCTTTTAACCATTTCACACGTTTCTATCAATTATTAGGAATTAGTTTTCATCTATCAGTTTGGAGGTAGACTCATATGCATAGAGATAAAGTTTGTGTGGGTCTAACAGAATGATGATAAACAAAAAAGGATGGCATTTTGCTGTAGGATAAACGAAATCAGCCTCTAAATTTTATTACAGCATGAAGAAATTACAGGAAGCAAAGATTGAACTGATTAAAAAGAATACATTACGGATAAAGCTTACAGTTTATATGATGTGTTTTGGTTTATCAAATGCCCTCAGACTACACAATGTAGATTTGTCATCAGATAAGGGAAGATTTAATATGCGTTAAATGAAAGAATTGGGACCATGATTATAATTATCTCTGTTATATATAAACGAGATTATTGAAATACAGCTGTTTTCGTTATTTGTTTAACGTCAACTTCAACAACATATTAATTTGATCAGTTGATTAAAAATATTTGAATCAATTCATTAAAATATGAAAATGTTATCATTCAAACTTCCAATTATAATTTAATGGAGAAGATATCGTGTTTTGAAGTTGATATAGTTTGTTTTTCTCATTTAGGCATAAAAAAAAATTTTTATATGAAATATATTATGTACTGTGCAATGTATTTGTATTTTTAAACAATTGAAGGGAAAGGGTTATATTATGTTGAATATATACCTAGTCAGGTCATAAATTCTGTCACATGTTTAATGTAAAACAATTGAAACAAGTTTATTCATTATGTAACCATTCATATACCAAAATGAACTTAACAAAACATAGATTCTTATGACACTAACGTTTATTCAAAATGACCTCCGTGATTTTGAATACAGGCCTTCAATCTGCGCGGACAGTCGTCTATCGCAGCACGAACGAGGTCCATGTCAATATCGGCGGTTGCCTTAATCAAGGATGTCTTGAGTGACTCCAAATTGGGATGAGGCTTTGAGCACACCTTTTCCTCCAAGTGTTGCCATATCTTGTAATCTAACGGATTCAAATCTGGACTGGAGGAGGGCCAGTCTTCGTGCTGGATGAAGTCGATTTCACGCGCCGCCAGCCAGTCTTGTGTGCTCTTCGCTCTATGAGCTGGCGCCGAATCTTGTTGGAATACCCAGTGCCTGTTATTGAACATGGTATGAGAAACAGGTTCCANTCCTCCAAGTGTTGCCATATCTTGTAATCTAACGGATTCAAATCTGGACTGGAGGAGGGCCAGTCTTCGTGCTGGATGAAGTCGATTTCACGCGCCGCCAGCCAGTCTTGTGTGCTCTTCGCTCTATGAGCTGGCGCCGAATCTTGTTGGAATACCCAGTGCCTGTTATTGAACATGGTATGAGAAACAGGTTCCACAAGGTTCGATTTTGATACACAACTGCATTCTTTTTTAAACCTTTCTCACAAAAATGTACCTCTGTTAAGCCCCAATAAGAAACTCCCAACCATACCATGAGCGAGGATGGAAAATGACCTCGTTGGACACGCGGAATGCGGTTGCTCGCTTCTTCACTACTGTGTGCGTACACCTTATCATTTTGTTTGTTGTAGCTCTCTTCTACGGTAAAAATTTTTTCATCCGAAAAAAGATTTTCCCGCGTACCGCTTCAACAAAGGGCGGCATCTCTTCAGTCTCAGGTCCATTAGACGAGCATTCAAACGATGTCCTGTTTTTCTTCGATATGCCCGAAGCCCTAAGTAGTCATTTAACACCCTTTTCACAGTGGTTCTGCTTAACCCCATCTGAAGGGCCAACAGTTTCTGCTTACGTTTGGGATTTCTTTGAATTCGCGCCTTCACAGCTTCTATCACTGCTGGAGTCCTAACATACCGGGGCGACCACTTCTTGACCTGTCATCTACACTAGAGTCTTCATTGTATCGTTTGATGGTACGATGAACGAATCTTTTGGTTATATTAAAATTTTTCAGTATGTTAAAAATTTGAATTGGCGCGTAACCGCAACGATGCAACGCAATAACTGGAACACGGTCTTCTTTAAGCGTCCACTCTATATTTAAAAATGAGTAAAATTCTAAAAGTATACATTTTTATTTTCATGAACAATTCGAAATTCGAATTCAATAAACTTTTTTGTGGCCAGCATTTTAAAAGAAAAGTTTTTACTGTGTGACAATACTTATGACCTGACTAGTTAGAATATATAGAGATTGTATAGAATAGCCTCTAGCTGCTTCTACTTGTTACCCATTTTCGTCTATTATTATTATTATCCATTCTGTCTATTGGCCAAGCCACCACGTTTTCGAGAAAATTGTCGTCCAGTTTTTATTTTTGATTACGAATTAATAAAATATTATATACCTAATCTATTGCAATTTGGCACAAAACCTTGAAAAAAGGCCATATATCCAAAATTGTGGCGTAATAAGCAATGGGATCGGGAATGTTCGCGACTGCAAATCTGCAATCATATTATTGAGGCTTTTAATATTATTACTACAGTCGATTTTTTATTTATTTTTTATTGCTTAGATGGGTGAACGAGCTCACAGCCCACCTGGTGTTAAGTGGTTACTGGAGCCCATAGACATCTACAACGTAAATGCGCTACCCACCTTGATATATAAGTTCTAAGGTAGTCTCAGATAGGTAGGTCTCAAGTATAGCATGCATTCCACAATCCACAACTGTCGGGGTGATTCTATCTCCTCTCTTTCTCTGTCTTCTCAGAGGAGCCGAGAAACTGTTCGTGGTGTCTCGCGTGTCTGTGATGCTGGTTTGGCTGAGCACAGACAGATGCGAGTCCCTGGACCCGATGGGGGCGGCGCCCGGATGTAGCGTTTTGGCGGACAAGCATCGACTCACAGTAGCCACTAACAAGGTGATCTAATTGAATAAATAATAGTTTAAAAAAAACTATAAATAACTATAAATATTTTATGAACAGATACCGAGTAGATGGGTTATTTTGATAATATCCTGAAAAGCACCTAACGCGTTTTTACAATAAAGTCATTTTTTCTCCTACCTACGCCGAAAGTTCGGTTTTCGTCCCGCTGTACAGGGAAGAAAGCTCTCCCTGGGTACTGACAAGTGCGCATGCGCGTTAGTGTCTACGTCTGCTCTCACGCACCTAAAATTCTCTGCCATTGTTGTGCTCGGGTAATTTGCAATATTGTGTTTAGTGTAAAAGTGAAATAAACAAAAGGCAATAAAATTTAATAATAAATTATTAAACAAAGATGAGTTCATCAGACAGTTCTTATTCAATTAGTAGTAGCTCATCTAAAAATTAAAAAACAGTTAAATTGTTTTAAATTGTTCCGCCCCCCACCCCCACCCCTAGCCAGGGCATCGCTCCTGGACCCCGGCTCGGTACTCCACGAACTTTCGGCCTGGTAGGAGAAAAAATAGTATTTGCACTGCGGGAAAAAAGTTGGACATTAGTACTATCGTCTGTCTTAGTTTTCGGAAGCGGTCTCCTAACACCCAGTATACTATATGCTATAATACTATAGCGTAGTCTGAAAGCGGCTTCACGCTGGCCTAACCGCCTTGGGGTTACCAGATTAGGTGAGGAAAAAAAATTGTAACAAGGATTTTATTATTAACTCTCTCCTACGCAGGCGATATACTGCTACACGACCGAAGGTAGAGGCCCGTGCTACGCGCTCGAAGGTGACAAAGTCGCGCTGAACTGTTTCCGCAGCTACCTGGTCATCACGGCCAACGAGCCCGCGGCCAAACCCGGGGCGACGACCAGTACGGCCCCGGCCGCGCGCTCGCACCACATCACGATACTCGACATACAGAACAAGTTTATCGTTTTCTCGAAGACGTTCGACGAAATCGACGCGGTCATAACGGAATGGGGCTCGTTCTATTTGCTCACGAAGAAGAAGGAGCTGATCTATCTGAACGAGAAGGACCTGCAGTCGAAGTTGTCGTCGCTGTTCAAGAAAAATCTCTACGACGTCGCTATAAGGATAGCGAGCAGCCAACATTACGACGTCGAAGGTCTCACCGAGATCTACAAGCAGTATGGGGATCACTTGTACAGCAAGGTCAGCTTGGGCTAGTTTTTTTTTACATTTTTAAAGTTTCACGCCTAAAAATGAACACATTATCATCATTCTCCTGTCCTTCTTCCAGTCAGCTGAAGTCGCACAACATGCTTTTTCATTCCATACTCCTCTATCATATTCCATTTCTTCGCTCACTCCCCTCTTACACGTATCGTCTTTCACGCAATCCATCCACTTTTTGTTTGGTCTATCTTTTCCTTTCACATTCATAGTTAAAACTCTCTTACCAACCTCATTGTCATTTCGTCTCATCACATGTCCATACCATCCCAAACGCGCAGTTTTCAACTTCTCTGTCACAGGTGTCACTTTCAGACTTCCTCTAACATATTAAAAACAAATACATTACACCCTTTTTGTAAAATTGTAAAAATGTTTCATTACAGGGCGATTTGAAAGGAGCCATAGATCAATACGTAAAAACTATAGGCTGGTTAGAGACTTCGTACGTCATTCGCAAGTACCTGGAATCCCGTCACTTGGAGCCTCTGATCATATACCTCGAAGCCCTACATAAGAAGGGCTTCGCCACCGAAGACCACACCACATTACTGCTGACCTGCTACGTGAAGATTGACCAGCACGACCAACAGGGCAAGCTGAAGGAATTTATCAACACTAAAGATAAGACGATAGATTTTGATGTGGATGTGGCTATAAAGGTACGTGTTCTACTTAAATCAATGTATTATAATTTATTTACGTCAGTGGTTCCCAAACTTATTTTGTCTATTGCCCACTTTCAGAATAAAATATTTTTTAGGGCCCCCCTTTTTTTGACTTACTTAATAACCACTATAGCTCACTCGGTGTCTAAGAGTCCTCCCAGATGAAATCACAAATCCTCCCAAGCCCCTAAACAACGCCCCTATTCTTTCTGGGTGTCTTACCGCCCCCTTTTAGGCCTGCATCACCCACTTTGGGAAAGGCTGATTAACATTAAAATAAAATATTACTCTTTATTATTTGTCTGACAATGAAAGTGCACAATTATCTTTAAATATTTTTCTTCTATCAAACACGATATAATGAGAACCGGCAATTAAGACGTGAAAGTTTTCGTCGAATGTTTCAGAGATAATAAAATCTAAAAACCGCTACAGTAGCGACAAACGGCAAGAAAGTTAACTAAAGCTGTTTGTTTAGATTCTTTTAAATTTTTTCTTTATTTTTTTTTCATTTATAGATTTTATGGCCTTGTAATGAGACCTTTAAGCCATTTGGTTTTTTAATTGTCACTTTTTTTCCTACCTAACTGAGAGTCTTGAGAGGCAATTTCAGCGTAACCTTAACTAGTAGGTGAGCTCACGGGGCTCAAATCTGACGACGTTGCTAACACGAACCCTAGTAAGAGCCGTGCTTCGCAGAATCTACCACCGGATCGGAAACGCGACCCACTGCGAAGATCCGGCGAGAAACTCAGTGGGCTGTGTCTGTGGGTTAATTTACTCTGTATTGTCGCATCAACACTGCCCTAATTTGTAGTACACTATACGTCGTCCCGCAGGTGGTGCGTCAAGTAAGCGTGGACGACGCTCTGTCGTTAGCGGCCATACACAAGCGCCACGACTGCTACCTTCAAATAGTGATCGAAGACAAGAAGGACTTCAAGCAGGCCCTGGACTACATCGTGGAGCTGGAGTTCGAGGACGCCGACGCGTACATGAAGAAGTACGGGCACAGGCTGATACAGCACGAACCTGAAGATAGCACGAAGCTGCTCAAACGTTAGTATCGCAAGCTGTAGTGGACTTCTTGGCGGGAAGCGAGGAGTGAAGTCGTGTGATTTGTTTTATTTTGTCTATTTAGTGTTATTAGGTGGTTTATTAACTGTTCAGTAGCTATTTTTCGAGATGATACCACCATCTCGTTTTTACCATCGCACCGCCCGCCACCGGAGTAGAGTTCATCCATACTACCTGGAACCACTGCGTTCATCGACAGTGCTATTCCAGAGGTCTTTTTTGCCACGTACCATCCGGCTATGGAATGAGCTCCCCTCCACGGTGCTTCCCGAGTGCTATGACATGTCCTTCGTCAAACGAGGCTTGTGGAGAGTATTAAGCGGTAGGCAGCGGCTTGGCTCTGCCCCTGGCATTGCTGAAGTCCATGGGCAACGGTAACCACTCACCATCAGGTGGGCCGTATGCTGGTCTATCTACAAGGGCAATAAAAAATAAAAAAATCTGTGAAAGTGCACAATGGTGGGAAAATGAAACAAAGCCGCTTAATGTAACTTCTCGGGATCCTCCAAAAAGCTCACTGAAAAAGTCTCCGTAAATGATCACCATTTTACTGAGATTATATTTCAAACCATGTCATCTCATCATTTCATTTCACTTCATATTATTAGTTTTCATAAAAATAAGAATATAAATTAAAATAAGACTTGACCTAAAGGTCTTAGTTACCAGGTCATAAAATCCCTTTAAAAAACAGCAAGCTGTAGTAGCGGGTTCTTGTTGTCGTGTCGGGGCATACATATATACCGAGCAATAGCTTTTAATAAATTTAATAGTCTCCTAACATAAATAACAGATCCAGTTTACTAACTACAAACTTTTGTCTCAAACGATGATACTTTGACAAGTATGTTCCAATACATCAGTACTGTGCACGGACTACAAGCCCCGCAGCAAGCCGCTGGTGGACGAGACGTCGCTGTCCGGGGGCCACAGGGAGCCGGACCGGGCGGCACCGGACGACTACATACACATGTTCCTGAGCAACTCGGCTAAACTCATAGAGTTCTTGGAGCACATGGTCGCCCATAACCCGGAGTGTTCCAAACTAGTTTACGACGCACTCATTGAGCACTATATACATGTCTGGTAAGTGTTTTTCAAAATTCTTTCAGGGGATACTATTAGATTTAAAAAAAATGACATTTTATGGGCACGCTTTTTTATCATAAATATGAAGGCAGTTCAATTACTGTTATTTTTTAATTCTAAAGAAATTAAGTTCGATAACGAATACGTTGACCCAACCAGGCCCAATACAGTCTGGGTACCGCTCACACAGACTCCATCCACCTCCCAGTAAACCTTGACAATGAAAGCACGTCCATGAGCGATGGTAATCACTTACTTTAGGTGGGCTGTATGCTCGTCAGCCTACAAAGGCAATAAAAAATGAACATTATCTTCTCGTTTGTCACTTATCGTTTCTTGCCAAAATTTGTTTCTTGCTATGCATATAATAATATATAATATCAATACATATATAAAATACAGGGTGTTTTTTTTTTGTTTTCAACATCAAAATCTTTTAAGTTCCAGTAGTTATTCATTATTGAAGTTTAGTGTAATCTTGGTTCAACTGTTTGGTTTTGTTTTTAGGGTGAAATCGCCTGAGAGCGAGAAGAAGGAATACGAAGAGAAAGTTCTACGAATACTCAGAGACCCCGAGGCCAATTACGATAGAGATCAAACACTGATCATTTGTCAGACTTTGGGCTTCAAACCGGGAGTGCTGTATATGTACGAGGAGAATAAATTGTAAGTGTTTTAAATACCTAATATAAATCCTTCCTCCAATCCAATTATCTTGGATTGTGGCGCCCTCCCGGACTTGTCCAGTCGTCGTGGCCTAAAGGATAAGACGTCCGGTGCATTCGTGTTGAGCGATGCACCGGTGTTCGGATCCCAGTCGGGTACCAATGTTTCTAATGAAATACGTACTCAACAAATGTTCGCGATTGACTTTCACGGTGAAGGAATAACATCGTGTAATAATAATATTATAAAGAGGAAAGATTTGTTTGTTTGTTTGTTTCGAATAGGCTCCGAAACTACTGGACCGATTTGAAAAATTCTTTACCATTAGAAGCCGACATTGTCCCTGATGAATATAGGCTATTTTTTTTATTTTGTTTTTTTAATTTTTTTTTGGTTTCATGTGTGTTTTAATGTTTCCGAAGCGAAGCGAGGGCGGGTCGCTAGTCGTGTAATAAAAATCAAACCCGCAAAATTATAATTTGCGTAATTACTGGTGGTCGGACTTCTTGTGCGTCCGCGCGGGTAGGTACCACCGTCCTGCTTATTTCTGCCGTGAAGCAATAATGCGTTTCGGTTTGAAGGGTGGGGCACCCGTTGTAACTAAACTGAGACCTTAGAACTCATATCTCAAGGTGGATGGCAGCATTTACGTTGTAGATGTATATGGGCTCCGGTAACCACTTAGCACAAGATGGGCTGTTCTATTATACCGGGCAATACTTAGGTTTAATAGAAATGAGCTACAGATGATGTTGAGGTGCGTGCGTGTGCGTGCAGATGGCGGTCGCAGGTGTCGCTGTACCTGCGGGAGGGGCAGGCGGAGGCGGCGCTGGCGGTGTGTCGGCGCCGCGCCGCGCTGTGCCCCGCGCTGTGGCTGGACGTGCTGTGGCACCCGCCGCCCGCCGCCTGCCTGCCCGAGCTGCTGCACGTCATAGGTACCGCACCCCCCGCCACACCCCTCTCCAGAGTCCTTCCAATCTTGTACTATATGCGCGCGAGTTCATGTCCATCGGGGCGAGAAGCGACGCGCGGCGGACAGCTCGTTCCGTCCTCCACCCCCCACCCCGCATTTGTCTGACGTCGAGTGTTGTCCTTGACGGTTGTGACGCGCGCTTATCGATAACCGAAAATTTACGTTAACGCTATTGTGTTATTTTATTGAAAATAAACAATGACCTCTTCCAAGAAGTTCAGGTAGAAAAAAACCTACTGAAAAAAGATACTGTTTCCGACTCTGATTTGTCGGTTGTCTTTTCATCTGATAGTGATTGAATTGGAATTTTAAAAATATTTTTCTCTATTAGTAACAAATAAGTAATTACTTATCACACTTATTTTATTTCATAATTTGCAAGATTACTTTCAGTTACAATAAACCGAATTGACAGCTGTTGACTAAATCGTTAGTTATTATCGACATTACCATAATTAATTAGGTCACAGCACTACCGCATTCCTCAGGATGGACATGAACTCGCGCGCCTACAGTCTCTAAATCACACAACCAATATATCATGAAGCTACATAAGCTAAGTTACAAAGTCATACCATTGTTTTGATAGCTGTGAACATTCACATTAACTTCGATGTAAAATTAAAAGTGATCTTCGATTTGTAGATACGGAAAAGCTGCTGTCGCGGACTCTGGTCGTGGACTGCTTGGCCAGCCACTCCGCGTACACTCTCGGAGACGTGAGGAAGTAAGTCTGCAAACAGTGGCTCCCTATACCCCCCACCCCTCACCGGCGAGGGAGACTGCCGGACTCAATATTGTTGGCAGCACATGCAATCTTGAATATATTTCCACTTCACTACCACTATCCACTTATGCCTCGCTTCGGGTCCATTCCATTCAATCTTTCTCGAACTGATTACTGACTGCTTCCATGTTGTCTTTGCGACGCTTTGATAGTCTACACATATTTCACAATTTTCCAGAACATTTCCAATAGCACTAATCGTTTCCATATCCATTTTCGGTGTTTGACAACAGTGAGCTTAGTGCCAGTTTTTTAACGTTCTCGATAGCGTAAAAGTTAACTCAAATTAGTATGCAGTTGGAACAGCGCCCCTAGCGGCAAAAGTTCCAACTCCATACTAATTTGAGTTAACTTTTACGCTATCGAGAACGTTAAAAAACTGGCACTAAGCAATTAAGGCGTTACTTGTACCGCCATAAACTCTCGAACGTTCCCGATAGTACTATAGTAGAATTATTATGTCCGTGCAGCTTAGGTCATGAATAATGGGACCGGTGAAGCGAATATTGCGTCCTCTCTTCCACTCATGAACCTTATGGACGGACATAGTGATGCGCATTATTGTTTTCGATAAGCGTTATCGATAGTGTATTTAGTTTTGTAATTTTGTGGGTTAGTGATAAAAATGAGAGTAAAAATCATTAATCGAACACTTACACCACATATAGTAGGTTACCACATAAGTTAACGAGATATTAACACTTTGTAACTTTCCGGGATCTATTTTCATTTCAGTGAACATTTTTAACACATTGTTGATAACAACACGTGCGAATGTTATTTTGAATAAATTCTACCGTTTTGGTACATTTTACACATTTCTCTTCGACATATATGTATTATATTTTGCAGGTAAGTACAACCAATGAATCATAACATAACAATATCTCACCACCCTTCGTACACCACCCCGCCGCCGTATACCTATCTTCGATGACTCATTTGTTTTTATCGATAATGGCGTTGCGCCCGCGCAACGTGCTCGCCGCCCTAGCCGGTTTATGATTTATGACTGCACGGACAAAATAATTCTACTATAGTCGTTTCGATATTTGTTTAGGCGATTTGACGAGAGATGGCGTTACTGGTATCGGTTATATGTTCAAAAGACAATCTGCTTTAAAATGAACCCGAACATTACTTTGAAGATACCTGATGGACATACTGAAGAACGAGAACGAGGTGATAGCGCGCGAGCAGGAGCTGGCTCGCAAGTACCGGGGCGAGGGCGAGCGCATGAAGGCGCACATACAGCGGATACAGCGCGAGCCGGTCGTGTTCCAGAGCTCGCGCTGCGCCGCCTGCACCAAGCTGCTGGAGCTGCCCAGCGTGCACTTCCTGTGCCAGCACTCCTTCCACAAGCAGTGAGTCGCATACCTGACGAAAGAGATAGATATAGTCTACCCTCGCACGACTGACGAAAGAGAGAGATATAGTTACTCTGCACGACCGAAGGAAGAGATAGATATAGTCTATTGCACACCAAAACACAACACTAAAAATCAATCAACAGCGGTCTCAGATAACAGTTTTATCTACAAAAATGTATATTATTTTGTCGATTTAATTGAGTAATTTGCGTGATTACTGGTGGTAGGACCTTTTGAGAGCCCGCGCGGGTGGGTACCACCGCCCTGCCTATTTCTACCGTGAAGCAGTAATGCGTTTCGGTTTGAAGGGTGGAGCAGCCGTTGTAACTATACTTGAGACCTTAGAACTTATATCTATATCGTGTAAAATGTCATTAGTAAATTACTGTAAATCATCTTTTATTCTCACTTTTATTCTCTATTTTTAACTTCACGTATAATCCTAAATTAAAATTCACTACAAGAGGTTTCATACACACATTAGTATTAAAAAATTTCATAGATGGCGCTGTATTAAACAAACACTACACTGAGAATCTCTAATGTATTCTATCTTATTCTCTCGCCGGCTGAATCCTGTACATTTATGTGTTTGTGTCTCTATGGACTTATTTTTTCGTTTCATCGAGTTTGAAATCACGATTCTAAAGAAGTTTCACTTCAAATGTATATTGTTTTGTCGATTTAGTGTATCTTCAGGTTTGACCGTGTAATGCCAGTGGTTCGTTAACCGTATAGCATGCGCGACAGTACACAAGTGTAGGAAACGAATCGTAGTTGCTAGACGTTGTTTAGTTGGTCCTTCCAAAAGTCTCAGTCAATTCTCACTAATTTACTAGCCCTTTGTTTCATATACCTTCGTTTCTATGCATTTTATTTCATCCCAATAGATTACAAATTCAAATGGATCAACGTCATCTCGTTCGACTCAATTTGTTTTTTGAACATAATTAGTATGGAATTGACAATTGAAAAATTTCATAAATTTGATACTGGCAACACTGGCGTTGCAGGAAACCGTTGCCATACTGAATAAAAAGAAAATGTTGACGCGGTAAACCTTTCTCAAAGTCGATACGATAATAAATCCCGTACTCAACACAATTCATGTTAGCTAAGAACATAAATGTGCATTTTTTTTTTATTGCCCTTGTAGGCAGACGAGCATAATACGGCCCACCTGAGGGTGAGTGGTTACCGTCGCACATGGACTTTAGCAATGCCAGGGGCAGAGCCAAGCCGCTGGCTACCGTTGTGATTATTACTACATTGTTGTCTTGTTGCGTGTGGTGACAGTTGCTTCGAGAGTCTGTGCGAGTCGGAGTGCGAGTGCCCGTCGTGCGAGGCGCCGCCCCGCGCGCCGCCCCCCGCGCCCGACTCGCTGCACGCGCGCCTGCTCGCCGAGCCCGACCCGTGAGTGCGCCGTGCGGACCTTACGCACTTTACTAATAGGGGGAAATAGCGGGGTTTATAAATATTGACGATTGACTTCCACGGTGAAGGAATAACATCGTGTAATAAAAATTTAAAAAGCCAGCAAAATTATAATTTGCGTAATTACTGGTGGTAGGACGTCTTGTGAGTCCGCGCGGGTAGCCACCACTACATATTTCTGCCGTGAAGCAGTATAATGCGTTTCACTTTGAAAGGTGAGGCAGCCGTTGTAACTATACTGAAACTTTAGAACTTATATCTCAAGATGGGTGGTGCATATACGTTGTAGATGTATATGGAATCAAGTAACCAATTAACACCAAGTGGTCTGTGAGCTCGTCCACCCATCTAAGCAATAAATAAATAAAAAGTGAAGTGTGATGTCATCAGTGAACGCGGCCGCAGCTCGTTGCGCGGTGTGTTGGCCGCCCGTGTGTTGTCACAGCTGGTCCCGCGCTCTGTAAACATACGGGTCGACGACGTTTGGGTCTTTGTGTCGACTTTGACGTCACAACTTTTGTAACAATATGTCACTTTGATATTCGTACCGCATTATAAACTCGGTCATTGGTAAACTTATAATCAATCACTGGTCCATCGTTCCATATTTGAAGGAAAGGAGTGGGGGGTTAATAGTGAATAATATTAGCAGTTGATTGCACTTCTCTTGTTGAAAACCTTACTGTTTATCTACTTAACCCTGTTATGGTATTTGATCGTCCCCCATGGGACCATGTCCTCTGAGATCCTTGCCACTTTCTGTATCCGAGAATCCGAAGTATTCTAGAACCCTATCTGTTTTAAGTCATCGTGGCCTAAAGGATAAGACGTCCGGTGCATTAATATCTAACGATGCACCGGTGTTCGAATCCCGCTAGCAAGTACCAATTTTTCTAATGAAATACGTACTTAACAAAGGTTCACGATTTACTTCCACAGTGAAGGAATCGTGTAATAAAAACCAAATACAACATTGTCATTTCTTCTTGTGAGTCCGCGTGGGTAGGTACCACCACCCTGCCTCTTTCCGCCGTGAAGTAACAATGCGTTTCGGTTTGAAAGATGGGGCAGCCGTTGTAATTATACTTATAGTAATTATAATAAGTCCTTAGAAGTCGTATCTCAAGGTTGGTGGCGGCATTTACGCTGTAGATGTATATGGGCTTCGGCAACCACTTAACATCAGGTGGGCTGTGAGTTTGTCGGTCTATTTAAACAATACATTAAAAGCTTACGACGTCTAATAGTTGACATTCGTTCTTGACATTGAGTTCTTTGAGTGGAGAATCTTTGGTGCTAAACTATGTCCTTGGTTAATGGTCGCCAGCATCACCTTCAGACCTGTCTACTCACAGCCCACGTTAGCGGAACGTACAAAAATATTAAGCATACCAAATCGTTCATCAGTCTAGATTAGGTCATTATCTCAATACTTAATGGCTATGTATATGTACAGTCGTACCTTGACATTGAGTTCTTTGAGTGGAAAATCTTTGGTGCCATGACCTTGGTCAATGGTCGCCAGCATCACGTTCAGAATTGTCTACTCACAGCCCATCCTCTTGCAGCCAAGTCCACGTTCTCAAACCGTACGAAAAGATAGAGCATACCAAATCATTCATCGGTCTAGATTAGGTCTTTATCTCAATACTCAATGGCTATGTATTGGTTTTAAACAACTTTAAACATGATTCAGTTCTGTGCGTGTTTCTGTCCGCGTCGGACGTGCTATCGCTAGCGATTATCGACAGGCCACGATGTGAGATTACACTAATTTACGACGGACGAACACTAATAATATTATTATCGCAACATCGACCCGTAATGTACCTATCTGTGATAAAATCGGTAATGCTACATCCATTCTCTTGGTGCTTCGCCGGTACAGTCGACAAGAACTACGAAAGGTGAACAATTTCTTTTGTTGACGTGTCGTGTAGGTCTACATAGGAATTCGTGCCGATAACCTGCGATTTTTTGTTTTGTTGCATTAGAATAAAATTTAAATTTCGTTGAAGGATCTTGGGAAACAAACTAAAAACATTTGGCCGGGTCTGTTTTGAGATCTCAAAACTCTGTCTGTGCGCAAACGGTCGATAGATCGACTCTCTATTAATGGTAAAGTGCGAAGCATCTGAATACTGACTGCGCAGTTTTTTTATTATAGGTATTTGATATCGACCTGTACCTACTTAGTGTCTTCATATTATTATCTATAATGTTTTTAATAAGGTAATAACATTTATATATAACCATTTGAAATTGCTGTACTATGCATTTAGAAACGATTTTTGTTTTTTTTTTCAATTTAATTTTTTTTTATAAAGTACTTTTTTCAAAAATCCTTTTAGCAATTTATACAAAACATGCGAAATTAAGCTCAGTAATTTAAAGCTTACAAATTAAGCCAAGTTAAGGTCCCACATCAAAGCAGTGTTGTTTTGCTTAAATATTAAGTTCAAATAGAATGTATAATACATAGTGAGGAATTTTATTCCAATCAATCCACTTCTGTTCTATACTACTACTATAGAGTGCATATATCTGACAAAGTAATTGCTTGCTTTCTTGGGCCCTGAAATCGAAATACGATAACAAGTTACCTCCCATATCACAGCTTCAAACTGTAACGCATAATTATTACCACCCACTTAACACCAGGTGGGCTGTGAGCTCGTCCACCCATCTAAGCAATAAAAAATAAATAAATAAATCAAATCAAATCAAATCAAATCAAAAAATTTTTTTGGAACAACTATGTACAAACTGCTTCTTTTTTTTTATTCTACCTATGCTGATAGCCTTGAGAGGCTATTTCAGCTTCTCCTTGACGTGTAGGTGAGCTCACGGGGCTCAAACCGGGAGTGTTGCTAACAATGACCCTAGCAAGAGCCGTGCTTCGCAGAATCTACCACCGGATCGGAAACGCGACCTACTGAGTAGATCCGGCGAGAAACTCAGTGGTCTGTGTCTCTGAGGTACCTAAAAACACTGTTAATGGATCAGGAGGATCCGTAATGACGTGTTTAGGGCGACGTCGACTGTTTACAATTCGGTCCACAGGATCGGGTATGAGCAGTATCGTCGTTATTTTCAAACATGCGAATTTCATAATATTTATGTGTAGGAATCTTTTGCTTTCAATTTAAAATTCCTATCTCTAGCGGATAATGTTGTGCTTTGTCAGTGCAAATGTGTTATGTTAGACAGAACAATAGTACATTCATCGCCTTCGGAATATAGCGTTATTATAAACGGCTTCAAAGGTGAATTTCATAACAGCCTATTATTTATCTTACAAACGTATCGACGTTTGGCTCAAAATAGATTTTTTTAAAGACAATAACATAATGAGATCCTGTATTATTTATTGTTTCGAAAATTAGATATGTCCGTCCGTCAACTGGTCCAATTTGTTATCTTAAATGTTTACAACAAATAAAAGATTAGTTACGTTCGACTAATGTGCTATTTATCTCAATGAAAATTCTTAGAAGCAGAAATGAGGTATGAGATGTCAACATTATTTTTAAAATTTTGTAAATTTACATTGTATTTTAGAGTAAATTAATAATTTTTGATAAATATTTGAATCTCAGTTAAATTTATAATACAACTACATAGCTGGCCCGGCAAACGTTGGTTTGCCATATAAATTATTTCTAGGAGAGATAAATAACCTAGATACCGACTGCAGCGCCATTTGCCGGGCTGATTTGTGAATCTAAACCATTCTCGAATCCACCTGAAGCTATACAGAAAAAATCATTAAAATCGGTCCAGCCGCTTAGGAGGAGTTTAGTGAAAAAACACACACACAGAAGAAATGATTAATATTACGTTTTAAGAATGAATATTATGATTTAAAATGAAAAATAATAATTATACGAATTAGAATTACGAATCGTTACAAGTTATATCGTAAAATTCCGCTGTGGAACATGAAGTTTTATATCTAAATTACTGGCTCTGCTTTATAGATGCGATATAAAAGTGTCGCAATTCGAGCGCTCTTATTCATGAGTTACCAATGAATTATCGGATGTTTGTAAACTCGATATTTTTTTTATGGTGGAGACCAAAATGTCTACCCAAACTTTATTACACATTTTTTTTATTGATGTGAAAAATCTATAGCCGCACGTAAAACCGATTTCTGGCGTGGCGACGCACGCCGTGGCGACGCGTCGCCATGCGCAATCGACTGTGCGATTCTCTCCCACTCGATCCGGCGTTAAGCCATCTCTCTCGCTACACTGAGCTCGGATACCTATAGTGTATACTCCGTAGTGTGTACAGTGTTGTTTGCTACAGTACACAAACCCGTGTTTTACTTGAAAACAAATTATTTTTTCCTAATATTTTATTTTATCATTATGACATACATATTTAGTTCCTATCACAATCTGTTCTTTTCTGCATATTACTTTTACAAAATAATGTCGATGTTTCACATCTGCCAGGCGTCCCGTGACGGGTCACATTTTTTTTAATATTTAGAATTCATGTTTCATATTAAAGCCAAAGTTACACTACGTAGTACATCTTGATGTGCTTGTCTTAAAGTAACATGAATCCCTCTTTTCTATCCGAAGAGTTCCCTTAGTACCATTGAAAAAAAAACACTCAAATAAGTTCTTAACTTTTAGTAATTAATAATTTAGTAATTGTATACAATCTCCTAAAGTTACCATCGTTTCTTCTTCTTCTTCTTCCAGTGCCTCTTCAATCCTGAAGGTTGGCCGTTAGCTTTCTATATTCGTTTTTATCTGCAGCCAGCCGGAACAGCTGTTCGACGGAGGCAATACCGGTCCACTCCCGGATATTATATCTATCGTTTCTTCAGTTCTTCATAAATTTCTATCACTATTTATTCTATTGTGTCGAAATTATTTTGAAGTATAAGAAATAGTACATTTTTATTTATTTATTGCCATTGTAGGAGACTAGCATATGGCCCACCTGATGGTGAGTGGTTACCGTCGCCCATGGACTTCAGCAATGCCAGGGGCCGAGCCAAGCTGCTGCCTACATGACTTGGTGTTACGTTATTTGTAATGTTTTCCGTTTCCAGTTACTCCGTAGTATCAGAGTACTACGGACGCGGTCTGTTCAACAAGCTGACCGTCGTTACGGAGAGCGAGGAAGCCGCCCCCGCGCCCGCCTCCGCGCCCGTCCCCGCACCCGCGCCCGCCCCCGCCCCCGCCTATGGTGCCGGAGCTGAAGCTAAACTCAGGATGCAGGAAGGACAAAGCAAGCAGTGTATGTATATTTAACAAGAATAATATTATAACCCATGTTTATAAATGACAGTTCTTTATTTTATTAATAACTAGCTGACCCGGCAGACTTCGTAGTGCCTCAATCGATAAATAAAAGACCTAAGCTTTAAAGAAACAAAAGGAATCCGTCCGACGGGGGACACATCAAAGGGAAAACAAAATTATTATTTTTATTTAATTCCGAGCGTTTTCATATTTGTCTACCTTTTAAACCTTCTCTGGACTTGTACAAATAATTGAAGACCAAAATTAGCCAAATCGGTTCAGCCGTTCTCGAGTTTTAGCGAGACTAACGAACAGCTATTCATTTTTATATATATAGATAATATATTTAATAAAATTTATTTACCTGGTGTTAAGTAATTACTGGAGCCCATAGACATACACAACGTAAATGCGCCACCCACCTTGAGATACAAGTTCTAAGTTACGGCTGCCCCACCCTTCAAACCGAAACGCATTACTGCTTCACGGCTGAAATATGCAGGGCGGTGGTACCTACCCGCGCGGACTCACAAGAGGTTCTACCACCAGTAATACAAGATTTATCTATTGCGTACCGTACTCAACGATTCATTTACGTTTCAGTGTTCGTGCCGAACGCTCCGAAACAGATAGCCCCTAAAGGCAGCAGCGTGGTGCCGGTCCCCGAGGGCAGGATGCGCCTCATGGAGCAGCAGCAGTACAGCAGCAGCCTTGAGGCGAACCTCACCAGGCTCGAGCCCGTGCACACCAAGAAACCGTCGCCCTTCGCCTCGCCGAGGGCCGCGAAGCGAATAGTCCTCGACCAACCTAAAACCTCGAAACCTCCAGTAACGAAGCTCGAGGGGAGCAACCCCTTCGACGAGCACTACGACGAGTCCAAGAACCCGTTCGCGGACGAACAAGGAGACGACCCGACCAACCCCTTCGCGGGAGACGACGACTACGACTCCAACTATAATCCCTTCGCTAAAGACGACTAGACACCGTGTAGACTCCGTGGAGGGTGGGGTGGGTGGCGCCACTTAACACCAGGTGGGCTGTGAGCTCGTCCACCCATCTAAGCAATAAAAAAGAAAAAAAGGGTAGTTTGTAGTCATCGCGACCCTAACGACTGAAAGCATTCCCAAGTACGAGCAAGTTTGCGCAAATATCTCTTTTAACTTATTTTACTGTATGCGTTAAAGATTAAATAAATATTGGCTATTAATATAGCTTTCCTAAATTCTCCTTAACCCACATCACGGAAGCTGATGTAAACTAATAAGTGTCTCGTATTTAAATAAATAAAATGGACTGATTTAATTAAGCGACCCGCACGCCCTCTGTGTCTCTCGTGGCTGCGACGACACACGTGATAACTATAACTATCAACTTTATATACAGGGTGTTAAGGAATCGTTTGATTCGTTGAGATATGTGTTTCTTTTCAACAGAAAATCTCATTTCGATAATCTGGTCGTACAAGACAACGCGACGGATCGAGTTTCGTGTAAAATTACAATAAAAAACTAATTGACACAATTATTGTTCATCACAAGTGAGGCAAATACTTTTTTTTCATCACAAAATCATAGTGGGGCCCTAGAGTTGGGAGTCGATCAGACAATGATAATAGTAGCTACTGACTGCTCCTTCTTATTTGTCTCCACCATATCCCCTCAGCTAGGGTATGGCGCAGTGATATTTTTCTTTTCCATTCTCCTCTATCAGCCCTCATCTCAACACCCAATCCTCTTCCTCTTGTATTGTGATTCACACCACTACATCAACGTCTTTTTCTATGGAGCTCTTCTCCCTTCACCTTGCATTACCATTTCGAAAAGTTCCTACTGACCAAGTAGTTACTGACTGCGTCTGCAGATTTACATTGTCTTTTTTTTATATCGATTATCCTTCTATTAGTAATTATTATTAAGCGATAGTTAAATTAAATTTAATTAAAGTTTATAATTTATTCTCAAAATGGCGCCGTGAGTTTAATGTTATTTTTTTTAGATTTAGACTTAGAAAGTATTGTGTCTTATCATATAACAATATAATAGGCTATAGAAAAAGACTGTAAGTAGAAATGTTCTGCTGTGTTTGAGTATGGTTGTACATTTTGCATTGTAAATAAGTCTATGTGATCAGTGTTTTATAGTTGAAAATATGTATATTAATATATTCGATGCCTGTACTGGATTTGTAAATAAATAAAAAAGAGTTTAATTTATTTGTTTTTTATTTGAAAATTCTGCTGTGATATGCAGTGCTCTGAACAAACCGAGACGAAAATGAATAGTTAGTGATCTGATTTTAAGTAATTATCGGCGGTATGTGAGTCCGCGCGGGTAGGTACCACCACCCCGCCTATTTCTGCTGTGAAGCAATAATGCGTTCCGGTTTGAAGGGTGGGGCAGCCGTTGTAACTATTATAACTATACTGAGACCTTAGAACTTATATCTCAAGGTGGATGGCGCATTTACGTCATTTTTTTTTTTTTTTGTCAGGAGGAAATCGCCGGACTTCCGCCCTTCACTGGGGATGGAGGGCGGGGCATGTCGGAGTCGAACCGACTAAAACCTCCTGTCTCTCAACCAAGGTCCAAACCTCGCATGAGACAAAACTCTTGAAAAGGCAAAGAGGGGAAAGTGAAGCGTTTAGTGCGGAACACATCTCTCCCATCACCCTCCCCCTCGGGACGCCGAACTGGCGGTCGTCGGCGGCATTTACGTCATAGATGTTTATGGGCTCCAGTAACCACCTAACACCAGGTAGGCTGTGAGCTCGTCCACCCATCTAAGCAGTAAAAAAAAACACGCAGTTGACGTCTGATGCAACATTTATCATTTCAGGAATTCATTGAAAGAACTTTCTCTAATACTAGCAGGAAAAAGTAATTAGCATAAGCAAATTTTCGAGTCTTCACTCGAACGGGTTTTTTTTATTGCCCTGTTACCTACAAGACGAGTATACAACTCATCTGATCGTGAGTGATTACCATCGCAAATAGATGTCAGCAATAACAGGAGCACAACCAAGCCGCCGTCTAAAGTATCAAATTAACAATTCGAAAACAACCTCAAAAACACTGCTAATACATGCTTCTTGATATCCATTACAGTTTTGTCCGAAACCTTTTAGCTTGTCAGAAAAAATAAACTGAATAAAATATTTTTAGAGGAATTATTGAATAAAAACAACAATCTTGGAAATTTTCAAAGCATTTTATTTATTGATCTTTAACACTGTGTATAATATATTTCGATAATACATTTAGAGCAATGAGTAATATTACCGATTCATACATTTTTCTTATTTCAAAAGATTTAATTAAATCATAAATTTATATGTTATAATAATAATAATTTTTAATTAATTTCATTCTCTCCAAACAGTCAACAATCATATCGCAAAGACACTCGATATCTCTCGCACCACACAGACTCATGAAGCGATCAAACAGAGTATCCTACACGCTCCAAAAATATTTAAGTAACGATTAGGTACCAACAACTACAAATAAATCACAGGAAAATAACGAGAACGAAACGTCTTCACAGATAAGCACAGCTTAAATAGTACGTCTATAAAAATATAATCCAGCTCATTGTTGGCTGTACATTTCAAGTATTATATAATCACAATTATAAAACTAATAAAATAATAAAACGGCAAAGGAAATGTTCACAATAGACTTTTTTTTTCGACATAACGCACAACATCCGTGGTCTTTACCAGCTCACTATTCAACTACGTAAAACACCATTTTGCTATGCAAAACACTTTACCCTATAAATATATTTAAAAAAAAAACAGGAAATTACATACTTTGGAATGTTACATACATCAAAATGACTAGAATACGAAAATTAAGAGTTTCGCTAAAGCACGACAATTTTATTTTCATACATCAGGAAAAACGTTAAATCTCTCTATAAGTATGTCTTTACGTAAATATACTAATTTGGTAATAGTGAAGTATTCGTTTGGACATATTATATTATGTTACGATTTCATTTTTACCAAAAATAAATAATGATTGTACCTACATTCGACAATTTTGTAGAGCACGTCCACAAATCACTTCCTGGGCAGAAAAATAAAATTTGCTTTTACGCGCCATTTAAGGTCGTGCTTTACAAAACGGAATGTTTGAGATACAATAATAACTTACAATCTCGACGACGTCACAATATCAAGTTCAATATTAAGAAACATTATCTATAAACACACAGCGTATCTAAATTTGGATAATACTTTTTTACCTTAAATCTACGTTGTAATATGCTTAGTTATTATCTGATTATATTATGGTGTTGACGCGAAGACTACTACTGTCTAAGCATTCGTGACTTGTCTCGAATTTTATTAAGCATTTATTTTCAGTAACACGTAGTATATACCCATAGAACGGTTAAGATATTTACATTGACTACAAATCGCTATGCCTAAGTTACGTGTCAATAAAAAAAAAAATTAAAAACAGAGAAACGTCATCGAAAAGCTACGTTTTAGTGACGTAACATTAATCGAAGCGGCAAAGGGAATAAGTTAATGCAGAAACAGTGTCAAATTAAGAACATCGATAAAAAAAAAACACTACAGTCACATTGACTACATCACACACTAAATAAGACAATACAAATAAATATAATAATGAACAGCTGTTGCTATTATTATAAAGTGTCAACTAAAATACATTCGTATGATTCAACAGTAGACTACGTCGTGATTGCTCGCGGCACGGAATCGATTATACTATGGGGGCTACTCTATCACATACGACGTAACTACGGGGAACATACATGACTAGACAACGGAATGAACCGACGATCGTTACAAGCGAACGAAAGGTTCGGTTGTAACATTAACCTACTTTATACAATCCTTCGAATATCGTAACGAAGAGAATAATAATATCGAGGAATGAATAATAATATTCGTATTTGATTTGAGCGACATTTTTGAAACTTTACAGGACATCCGTTTGAAGTTTATAATTTGAAAAAAAAATTCGTTTATTAAAAACTTGGAAACTTGGGATTTAAAACTTGGAACTGTTGATGCTAATACCAAAATAAAACGAACCTTTAAAATATAAAGATAAATGACGCTTAAACCATATAGATAGAATACTTTCACACCTCGATACTATGAATTATAAGATAACACAAAAATCTAATTCGAACGAATAGCGAAAGACAAAATATCGATATAATATTAAATTTAGCTACGATGTATTTACAATCAATACTAAGGAGGTGAATCGAACAGTTAAACAAATGTCCGTACCCGACTCTGTCGTCACGATCCGTGACCGAACATGACCATTGACATGTTAGTCCTCCGTTACGGGCCATTCGTATGTACAAGTTAAATTACATACAACGACGTCTCAACGTTACAATTGGATTCATTTTATATAAATAATAAATTTCTTCGTTCACTTCAATGGAGCCTATCAATCGATGACAATATGTTTTGTGCGAAACATTATATTATGTATACGGTAATTCAAACGCACGAAGGCTGTACGATTAGCGATTTTAAACACGCATCGGCATTTATTAACAAACAGACAATAGCCATTCACATTTCAAGACATTGGTTCGCTCGTAAATATTCTCAAGGAAAACTCTAAAATCGTTTGATTAATATCCGAAGCAGATCTTAAGCGATAATTAGATGTTTTTTGCTGCAATAACAATTTCATTATTGATAATTTCATAAATACATTATTCAATTTGCAAACCAACGGCTGTTATGAGTCTCTTTAACATTTATGAGTATATAGAGTGATGACATTTGCATTCATTCAATATATTTTAGTAAAATATTGAAGAAATGTCACAAACAGCCAGTGAATTAATACGATAAACAAGTTTATCGATATCGATAAATCAGTCATTGCTCTATCGAGAACGAACTACCTTCGCAGACATTGAAACCGCCCAAATACAAATAGAACAATACAAATATATTATATATTATTATGATTATTGCGCGTTCATTGATATTCAGTGTAAATAATTTAACTTAAGTACCCCGATTCGATTCAGTGCACCGGTTTGGTCCCAACTACTCATTTCTTTAATGAAAAATATTACTAAAAATACTAAATTTATGGAATATACATAATAATATATATTTACGTATAGATCGTATTCAGCATTAAATGCGATGTTCAATACTGCTAATAAAATAATGGATATGCTGAAATAATTGATTCACGGTTTTTTGTAAAATCCCATTAATTTTTGTTGGATTTAATCGTAAAATAAATGGGCCCCTTTTAATAGACATTTGACGGTTTTGGCTCCCGTGTCCTAACTGGACCTCATATCCTCAATATATTCTCATAATGAAGACACAAATTGCGAGAATATTAAAACACTATACTGCTGAGTAAAGCAAATAGACAAATAAAAAATATATATACAAATACATAATATATTTGTCATTTAATTAATTCGAGTCCAATCATTTAACATACCAAACCAGACACTTTCATTCTTTGTATTATTATTTTTTCAAGACTACAAAAATAACAACATAGCCAAGAAGATACGATTGTTATAAAGAGATATTTCAAAAGGATCAAGGTCTGAATATCAAAAGTCGATCTTTTAATCTTGCTTCAATTAAAATTTAATTAAAACTGAAACTATACTCTATTCCAATAACGAAGTTCCATTTGACAGATATTATTATTAAGTTATTTTGTGTGTGTGTGTGTGTGTGAATTCATTGTATAATGATTTAGATTGATTGTGTATTTTTTAAATTATGATTTACGACCACGAACAAAAAAATGATTATTATTTCAAATCATGCGAAACGTGAAGAGTTACGTTCTAAGAAGTGTCAAAAGGGACTTCGTAATTGGAATAGAGTATAGTAGAAATAGACAATCGCGTAACACGAAGTTTTTTTTTTTTTGGTCAAAATACAAAAAGTCGAATTCGAATAGTTCGCGAGTAACAATGGTAGTTTCAATGTCTATGTAAAGGAGTGTTCTTAATGGGCGGTCTGTGCGTCGAGCCGATCGACACGTATTTAAAAAACGAGGATAGACTCCATGGTGAGGGCGTCTCATGCCGACAGCGGCGCCGGCTTGTCGCCGCGGCGGCCCGACCGCGACCTGCGTGGCCACACCTTTACGCGTTTATATTCGCATTGATCCAACTCTACGTCACTCATGTTTATACATTCAATCGTTTGTTATGTGTTTTTGGTGGAGTGTTATGTTTAATGAATAATTTTTTATTGTTATTGCTTAGATGGGTGGACGAGCTCACAGCCCACCTGGTGTTCACTGGAGCCCATAGACATCTACAATGTAAATGCGCCACCCACCTTGAGATATAAGTTCTAAGGTCTCAAGTATAGTTACAACGGCTGCCCCACTCTTCAAACCGAAAAGCACTACTGCTTCACGGCAGAAATAGGCAGGGTGGTGGCACCTACCCGCGCAGACTCACAAGTAGTCCTACCACCAGTTGAAAATAAAAAAATGTTATTTATTTTAATATCGTTACGATCGAATTCAAACATTCAATGTTATGGCAATCTTTTCTGCCGCGTACCATTCGACTTTGGAATGAGCACCCCTCCTCATCCCGAGCGCTATGACATATCCTTCTTCAAACGAAGCTTCCGGAGAGTACTCAATGGTAGGCAGCGACTTGGCTGTGATTACTGACGTCCATGAGCAACGGTAACCACTTACCATCAGGTAGGCCGTATCACATGAATGTGAACTATCAATCGCTGTTAGCCGTCAAAATGAGGTTGACGAGACCAAAATGAAACTTATGGTAATATTCCTAAAAGGACTGAGTGTTAGAGCTGAGTGTCACCTAAAAGCAGTGTTGCAATGTGATATGAATTAAAAAAAAAATGTTTTTTTTTTTAATTTGTTTTGAATATTTCTGTTAATGGTCGTGTGTGTACTGTGAGCACGCGGCGTCGGTCTCACCTTATCTGTCCGGCGAGCAGCGGGTTGATCGCGTACAGCCAGTCGTGCACCTCCTTGTCGCTTAGTGTCTGAAGTAAGTAGCCGCGCTCCTTGCTCACCACACTACAATATATACGTAGGATGTACTTAACTTTTATATCTTTAGTTGTGTCAAGAAATAATTTAATGTGAAAAATTCATACTATATTATATTTTTTTTATTATCTATAAATTAATACGTGAAGCAAAAACTTTGTACACCTTTTTTACGAAAATTGTGCGGACGGAGGAGCATGAAATTTCACACACTTATAGAGAATATAGAGAAGTGCACAATGCTATTTTTTTTTATTATGCCTACAAAATATATTACATCAATAAAAAAACACATTAAATTCCATGTATTTTACACACGCACACGCATATATACTCTTTTGTTTATTGTTAAAGTCTGTAGTCAAACTGAGTATAGATTAATATTGTTTGTTTGCCTTTAATATTATTTGACGAAATCTGTGATTATAGAAGTATCTTGATTATAGAATATATAGAAATTATAAGAAGTATGTCTTTGACAATAGAACTATGAATGTAGTAATAATAGCAGTAGTGACTAGTAGTAAGTAGTAGTAAGTAGTTCTACCCGATGATATGTAGGCGAAGTAAAATGTCCCTTAGAAATAAGGTGACACTCTACAAAACTTGCATACGCCCCGTCATGACCTATGCAAGTGTAGTGTTCGCTCACGCGGCCCGCATACACTTAAAATCCTTTCAAATTATTCAATCCCGTTTTTGCAGGATAGCCGTCGGAGCCCCGTGGTTCGTCAGGAACGTCGACCTCCATGACGACCTGGACTTAGAGTCCATCAGTAAGTATCTGCAGTCGGCGTCNTCACCGTCGACGCCCTAGACACGTCCTTACGGATCCATCAGATCCAATAACCTTTGCATTAGATGCCTTCAGCTCTAATAATAGGAGCAGGCTTAGGGACCCCAGTAACCGTACTCGTCGAACTCGACAAAGGGGTCGACGTGCAACCTAGCCCATGCATCAGATTCCGATCCGGTAGTAGATTCATTCGCGAAGCAATTGCTCTTGAGTTGTTAGCTCTCCTTCGGAGGCGCTCGGGCAGTTGTTAGCAAATCCCACCCCTCTTGGCTGAGCCTTTGCTCGCCCACCTGTCCTGGTGAAACTGGAAAGGCCTTCGGGCCACCAGTAATATTTCAAGAATAAAAAAAAAAAAAAAAAAAAAAAAAGTAAGTAGTAACCAGTAATAACCAGTAGTAATAATACTGTATTGGATGGTGTTATACCTGAAGGTGTTGGGCATGCGCACCATCTGCTCCTGGTCCTCGGAGTACTCGACGTGCGCGTTGGCGAGGTTGATGACGGCGCGCTCGATGGGGTCGCGCTCGTCGCGGTATATGAACACGTACGGCCTCCGGACCACCTGGACATCGCGAGCTCCGATCAGACCCACTCGTCTGGTGACTGTACCGTCCGCTTCCCCAGGAGACGGGCGGTACAGTGGATCGATCAAGCACAATCGTAATTTACTCAATTTTACTGGTGGTAGGACCTCTTGTGAGTCCGCGCGTGTAGGTACCACCACCCTGCCTATTTTTGCCGTGAAGCAGTAATGCGTTTAATGTAACTATACTTGATACCTTAGAACTTATATCTCAAGGTGGGTGGCGCATTAACGTTGTAGATGTCTATGGGCTCTAGTAACCACTTAACATCAGGTCATCAGGTGGGCTTCACAGCTCACGCTCGTCCACCCATCTAAGCAATAAAAAAAAAACAAGCACACTCAAGCATCCCAACCGTTTCGGAATTTGAACAGGAAAGTGAGATCGCACGATACCATCTAAGCATTGTGTTTGCAAATACCACTTTATCACCAGGCAGATGTGCAACTATTTGTTGGAGTAATCGTCTGGATTTCGTATGAAAAAAACGGAGATTTGCAAGGATAATTTTGTATTCAAACAGCGATAAGCATCTTCGTGTCAGTGGTTATAGGCCAAAAAAAAAGGGACAACTACAATTGACATTGACATATTCTAAATGAGTGACAGCTGAGGGTTGATATTGATATTACTAGGATACGTTTAGTAATTATACAATTCTAACACTGTAAGAATAGCATTGTGCAATAAAAATCAAACCCCAAAAAACCCACCACCACCCTGCCTATTTCGGCTGTTAAGCAGTAACATAGCGTAGGTTTTATAAACACTAAGACTTAGAGCTGATATCTCAAGGTAGGTGCTGGCATTGACGTCGCTGATGTCGTACCAGCCAGCGTTTCTTCCAGCCGTGCGTGCCGTGCTGCAGCACGTTGAGGTGTCCGCGGCGCGCCACGGCGGCGGACACGCGCACCTCCTCGCAGTCGGGCACGTACAGCGCGCCGCCCGCCGCCCCCCACCCGCACGCCGCCTTCTCCAGCATCGCGCGCTCCGGGGAGCACAGCCTGCACAGTTACCGTTACCGTTACGTCATCGCTGCGAGGGCCTGTGTTACTGATCCGCTTAGGGACCTTGCAGATTAATCGTCACCGTCATATCCAATGCGAAGATATTTTTGCGGAGCAACTTGACGTGTTTAAATTAATGTTCAAAGTCGTATCTCAGACAATGCAAATTTCTAACTAGTAGTTATCGCCCAAAGCCCTAAAAAAACGATTGATATTTTTAATTATTGCTAAATCTATTTCATTTCCTTATTCATGGTATACGCGTATAAATCAGTTTCAAACGCAGCGTCTTAGAAATAATAAGTCGAAAGCGTCTGTATGCTCAGTGTGAGTTTTTTAACGTTCTCGATAGCACTCACACTATTATACACACACATACACTTTTATAGCACTCACTCGAAGCTGCTAGCGCTGTGTATGGACGACAGGAGACTCGGAGTGGAGATGTCGGCGGAGACGCCCTCGTCCACGGGCGTGGCGGGAGACACTGCCGTCTCTACTTCCTTGCCCGTCGAACCTATTCTTCCTGAAATTATTATTACATTTGATTTTATTTTAAATATAGAAGCCAGCGGCCTCGACCCCTTCCTTGCTGATGCCTCAGTGACCACTTATGAATCGTAAGCTTGTCTACCTTCAGTAATAATGAATGAGCTTTTAATCCGAATAAATTTTCTATTAGATAGGACGCCATCTTATCGGCAAACCGCCATTTTGAATTCTATATGCTATCATGCAACACAAGATATTTGACAGATGCCTGAATCTCGCTTATGACATTTTAAAAAATTGCATATATACAAGTTTTTTACTGGTGGTAGGACCTCTTGTGAGTCCGCGCGGGTAGGTACTACCACCCTGCCTATTTCTGCCGTGAAGCAGTAATGCGTTTCGGTTTGAAGGGTGTGGCAGCCGTTGTAACTATACTGAGATCTTAGAACTAATATCTCAAGGCGGGTGGCGTATTTATGACGTAGATGTCTATGGGCTCCAGTAACCACTTAACACCAGGTGGGCTGTGAGCTCGTCCACCCATCTTAAGCATTAAAAAAAATTGTTCCGAACAACAACATTCGGACCGTCGGTCTACCGAGCAATTACACCCGCTTGTCGAAAGATTTTCCCTCCATCGTTAAACCCCCACACTGGAAGTGACCACAGATTCAATAAGTAAAAATCGAACGCACACTCACCTTGCATGAGCTTAATGAATTTGGTGGCGAGCTCTCGTTCCTTGGGCGACATGTCCCAGGGCTCGTACACGGGCTCGTCGCGCCCGCCCTCGGCCGCCGCCTTCGCCGCCATGTTGCACACCTCCTGCGATCAACGCACAACACTTGTTCAATTTTATATCGATACAATTTGTATTCATCGCCGTCGCGTGTGTTCCGAGTAATATATAAATAACTACAGTGTATAGTGGGCAGCTATTATAGAACACAAGGTACATTTATTTTGTCTATTTAGTATTTCTTCAGGTTTAAATGTAAACAATTGAGGGAAAATGAAACAAAGCCACTGAACGTAACTTCTCGGGATCCTCCGAAAAGTCCACTAAAAAAGTTTCAGTAAAAAACCACCATTTTACTGAGATTATATTTCTATGTAATCATTCTGTTTCTTTTTTGTAAATTTAATTCGTTTTTAATCATTTATATTATGTCGCGATTAGTTTCCTTCGTTTTTTATTATTCATAAAATTGTAAATAATTAAAACGGCGAATTATAAAAATCTTATTACTTGACGCTGGCTAATGCACAAACCGTGCCGGAGACAAAAAATAAAGAAGACGAAGAAATAGATTATTATTATTATTATTAGCGACTTTTTGGCGGGAACGCGAGGAGTGAAGTTGTGTGATTTGTTTTATTTTGTCAATTTAGTGTTTCTTCAGGTTTAAATATGTAATAACGATGGTTTATTCACTGTTTAGTATCTTTGAAAGTGCACAAATGTGGGAAAATGAAACAAAGCCGTTGGAGGTAACTTCTCGGGATCCTCCAAAAAGTCCACTGAAAAAATCTCAGTAAACGACCACTGAGATAACTGAGATTAATGAGATTATATTTCATCCCATATCATCTCATTTCATTTAATTTCATCCCAGTTGATTAATGTCTCAAATTCTTCATTACATTTCACTCCATATTATAATTTTTCATAAAAAATATCCCATATCATCTCATCTCATTTTATTTCAATTCATTTCATTTCATAGTATCATATTTCATAAAATAAAAAAAAAAAATATAAAAGATTAGGCTGTATGGTATGATACCTTTGCCTTTCTATTTGGAAAAATAAAACTACTACTACTACTATTATTATTATTATTATTAGCTAGTATCAGACGCGATGGATGGTCGTACCTTCTCTGTCTTGGTGAAGTCATTGGGCGCGACCGTGTTCTCGTGTCCATGCCGCAGCCTCTCCCGCAACGCGAGGAGGTGGCGCGTGCGACCCACCTGCTCCAAACGGGTCATCTTCTCCAACTCCCACTGTATTACGCAAATTTAAATCATTAATATATTGCTGGTGGTAGGACCTCTTGTGAGTCCGCGCGGGTAGGTACCACCGCCCTGCCTATTTCTGCCGTATAGCAGTAATGCGTTTCGGTTTGAAGGGCGGGGCAGCCGTTGTAACTATACTGAGACTTTACAGCTTATATGAGAAGGTGGGTGGCGCATTTCCGTTGTAGATGTCTTTGGACGCCAGTAATCACTTAACACTAGGTGGGCTGTGAGCTAGTCCACCCATCTAAGCAATAAAAGTAATAAAAATAAAAAAAAAGAATAGTAGAGAACATCGTGGCCTAAAGGATAAGACGTCCGGTGCATTCGTATCTAGCGACGCAACGCTACTCATATCCCGCAGGTGGGTACAATTTTTTCTAATGAAATACGTACTTAACAAACGTTCACGACTGACTTCCACGTTGAAGAAATAGCATCCTGTAATAAAAATCAAACCTGAAAAATTTTAATTTGCGTAATTACCTGGTGGTCGAATATGAGCGAGTCCCCGCGCGGCCTCCACCCGTGTAGGTTCTCTTCCCCGCGCACGTACGTGCCGCTCGTGTCCAGCACGCGACGCTGCCGGCGCTGGACTCCTGCTCCGCACACATCATAACAATCATAACATTATCGACAAAGAGATCTTCCACCGAGGGGGGGGGGGGGATGCTCAATAAAGCGACGGTCTGAATTTTACGAGAATCTTATTTCGAAAATATTGTTAGCGAAATTGACATATGTAGCAAATAAATTGCCTGTGTGAAAATGAACCTGAACCATAAATAGCAGTTTTATCGAGTAACTAATAAGTCGTTTTTACGGATGTTCCGTTATAACTACTGAACCATGCATCCGATTAACTTGAAACTTAGTATCCATATACAATATAAATGTACTTAATGGATAGGCTAATATTTATATGAGTGTTGGACTAATAGTCACAATAAATAATAATGTTAATTTTAAATGCCCAGCGAAGCGGGCGAGTACGGCTAGTTTATTCTAAAATCATTTTAATGCGTATTGGTGAGTGTTTTGGCGTTGTTAGGGGGGGTCTCGTCGGGGTCTGGTGGGGTGTGGTTGGGGGCGGGGCGGCGGGTGCGTACCGGGTTCGAGCGCGCGGTGCAGGCTGAGCTCGTAGACGCCGGTGATGTGGTCGGCGCGGGCGGCGCGGGACCCAAACAGTGCGCGGCGCAGCGAACGGCCCGTGCGCGCCTCGCGACCCACCACCACCACCGACAGGTCCTTCGTCACGATCGCCGGCCGCCCGCAGTTCTCCATCTGCCGTACAAACACACCGTTACCGCCATCACCACTACGAGTATAATTTTTTTAAGGGTTTTTATGACCTGGTAACTAAGACCTTTAAGTCATATCTTATTTTAATTTATATTCTTATTGTTATGAAAAATGATAATATGGAGTGAAATTAAATGAAGATGATTAATTTGAGATCAACTGGGATGAAATTAAATGAAGTCATTTACTGAGATTTTTTCAGTGGACTTTTTGGAGGATCCCGAGAAGTTACGTTTAGCGGCTTTGTTTCATTTTCCCACATTTGTGCACTTTCACAGATATTAAACAATTAATAAACCACTGTTATTAAACATTTAAACCTGAAAAAACACTAAAAAGACAAAATACAACAAATCACACAGCTTCACTCCTCGCGTTCCCGCCAAAAAGTCTTACGAGTATAAGCTGCGCCAATAAAGAAACGAATCTAAAATGGCGGCGGCGATCATGCACTCTCACTGTAAACTATTTCTGTCTTTAGTCGCACACGGCGCGTACTGCATGCAAAAAAATATCAGTTCTGACTTTGTTGTTGAGTTCGAGTTTTTTCACTTTCGAGTTGTGCGACTTTAACTGGCAGTAAAAGTGTCTACGCAAGTTGCATCCCACCTCAGAACCAGAACCTCCCCCTCTGCCAGGGCATAAAGTAAAGTACAGTACCTACATTCTCATTTGTTTTTTTGTATTTTTTTACAATAAACAACTTTTTCTTTTTATTTGTTGACCCTTACCATCTTGTCAGTGCAGGTACATAGACGCCATTTTCGATTCGTTTCTTTATTGGTGCGGCTTACAACTACACGAAATAATATAGACGGGTTGTTGAATGAGGAACTGAACTAAGAGCTTGTAAGAGCCGTAGTAGTAGTAGTGCTGCTTCACTAACTATATTGGGTAGGCAATTACACAAAAGATGGGTAATGAATATGTACTGCCCGCAGTCTCCAAGATTATCGAAGTATCACCGCGTTCGTGTTTTGAACAACAATAAAGGATGATGGCCTAAAATCACAAGCGACAGCGATTTTGTCGAATTGTGAGGCGGTTGCCCAAGTAGTGGCGGATAAGTGAGTCACCACAAACTATTCCTGATAGGATTCATTTCATCTTATCCTAGTCTTAACCCTATGTTATGTATGCGTTACATAACGCTATTACTATGCTAAAAAAATTAAACACAAATATTTCGAAAACAAAATTATAGCTTCTTCGAAACGAATGAATTTGTACGCATTTTATTTCATAAAATAGACAGGGAATTATGGCTACCGATGACGTCACTGTTCACGTCCGACTTTCAAATTCTAAACAAATACCGATTTTATAAATAAAGGTTTGTTGGTCACAATCACGATACCTCGAGGTAAGCGCTGAGCGTGATGTAGACCACTTCCCCGTTAGCGCTCACTCGGTTCAGTAGCGGCGAGCCGTGCAGGCTGCTGTCCCAGGCCGCTTCGAACCTGTTCAATTCGCAATGCTATTATATATATTTATGAGCAAAAACAAATGTGGCAAAGAGTTTAGAGATTAGTACCTTAATTATGGCGCCAGATGTTGTCTTTTTTTTTTTAGTTTCCTACCTAAGCTAATAGCCTTGACAGGCTAAGCGTAACCTTAAATAGTAGGTGAGCTCACGGGGCTCAAATCTGACGACGTTGCTAACACGAACCCTAGAAAGAGCCGTGCTTCGCAGAATCTACCACCGGATCGGAAACGCGACCCAATGAGAAGATCCGGCGAGAAACTAAGTGGGCTGTGTCTGTGGGTTAATTTACTCGTCAAGCCCTTCGTCGCAAGCGACGGTTTCGACGGGAACGATGACCGGAGATGTCGTCAGACACGACACTATGACCGTTCTGAACGAGTAACTGCTGAAAGACACGGAGTTGAATGAAGACCTATATAATTCAGGGGTCACCAATTAGTTTCCCTTGGGGTGTGTTTAAAGAACTAAAATGATCATCGCAGTCCACACAACATTGTATAGAAAAAAAACTATTTCCCAAACAAATGTAACTACGAAAATAACAGAGGTATTTTTTTATATATCAATGAGGAAAATGTCGTTTTTCGTTGCGAACTGTCTGTTTGAAGTTTGGAGTAAAATTGGTGAATTGGTGCATCTTCGAAAATGCTGATCGCAAATATATGTTGACCCACACAAAGTAAGAAAAGTTAATTTCTGTCTTGCTGTGTTCTCGCGGTCCGCACAAAATGGGTCGGCGGTCCGGTCTCCTCATTATCTAATGTATATGGTAAGTTAATGAGTAATAATCCTAATTAAGAAATCTTTCAATCTCCCTACAAGACAGATTTGAGTGTTGCCAACGTAAATCTAGTCTGATGTAGTAGAACTGGCAATAGTCACCGGAAGACGGCCCGGTCGTCGAGCGCGGGTCTCTCCCCGGGGAACAGGCCGAGTGAGAGGGCGCCATCCTCGTCGCCGTCAGTGGTATCCTCATTGGCTTCGGGCGTGTTGCGGATGCGACCTGCCAGTTGACCGTTAGTTAAACGCGACAAGTCACATCTGTATTTATTTAGACAAGTGGTCGCCCAGCGAGCGAAATTAGAACCTGGTGGTAGGAGCTCTTGTGAGTCCACACGGGTAGGTATCACCGCCCTGCCTATTTCTGCCGTAAAGCAGTGATGCGTTTCAGTTTGAAGGGTGGGGCAGCCGTTCAACTATACTGAGAACTTAGAACTCATATCTCAAAGTGAGTAGCAGCATTTACGTTGTAGATGTCTACGGGCTCCGGTAACCACTTAACACCAGGTGGGCTGTGAGCTCGCACCCATTAAAGCAATAAAAAAAATTGTATTATCATGGTGACGTCATGAGTGGGGGGGTCACGCACCGACAACGAGCTCCCTGACGTCGGTCCACTGCAGGTCGGCGGAGGGCTCGTGCAGGATGGTGATGCGGATGCGGCGCTGGATTCCCTGGTGCAGAAGGAACAGTCCGCGGCAGGGAAGCTCGTCGCTGTGCTCCACCACCTGTAACACGGGATATCGCAATTCTATATTCTACTAGCGACCCACCCTCGCTTCGGTTCGGAAACATTAAATTTTATTATTGATAGCTGAGTCCCGCGATGATGATGACGCCGCGGGACGAAGCTAGTATAAAAAAGTAGCCTAAGTTACTCCTTATATCATCAGCTACCTATCAATGAAAGTCTCGTCAAAATCGGTCCAGCCGTTCCAAAGATTAGCCGGAACAAACAGACAGACAGACAGATAATTTATGTAGTAAAAAGCGGTTATTTCAATATTACAAACAGACACTCCAATTTTATTTATATGTATAGATATCCGTACACGTGTAAATTGAACAAAGTAAATTCGGAATGCTCTGATCTTTGATCTAATGCAGTCTTTCCCAAAGTGGGCGAGAACGCCCCCTTGTGGGCGATTGCTTGGGAGGCGATTTTTAATTTCATCTAGGAGGACTCTTAGACACGACTGAGCTCTCGCTATAGTGGTTTTTAAGTAGGTAGAAAAAATTAGGGGCGCTAAAAAATAATTTATTCTCAAAGTGGGCAGTAGACCAAATAAGTTTGGGAGCCACTGATCTAGTGTCTGAAAAACAAAATGACCTTTACATATCGATCATAAATTATCAAAAGAGTAAAGGACAAACCCGAAATCCATACAAACTTGGGCCTGGCGTTACAGTGCTAGAATTTGGGCATAAGTTACAATACCTAAGAAGGTTTCATGAGCCCAATTTTCAGGTCTCCCAGCAATGGCCAAATTGGTAAAATCAGACAATGTGTACATTTTAGGTTATGTTTATTGTTCGAGATATTTTAATAAAAACGATATTTTTGAGGCTGTTTCCTACTAAAGATGAGTAATTTTTTACGAAACCTGTTGCAGCAACAGGTTGCTTTAAAATAAAAATGGAACCTGTTACGAGAAATCGCGCGTTAGGTTGTTTACGAAAACGAACGAAAGCCAAAAATTAAAAACAACGTAATGCGAAACGCGCTGCGCACGAAATGATTTTTTTAAGGGATTTTATGACCTGGTAACTAAGACCTTTAGGTCAGTCTTATTTTAATTTTAATGAAAACTTTTTTATATGAAAAACTATATTTAACTGATAACTTTTTTATATAAAATATAAATCATTACGTGCTCCCATAATATTATCTCATCACATTTCATTTCATTTTATTTCATGCCTTTTTTATTTTTATTTTTTATTGCTTAGATACCCATCGACGAGCTCACAGCCCACCTGATGTTAAGTGGTTACTGGAGCTCATAGACATGTACGACGTAAATGCGCCACCCACCTTGAGATATAAGTTCTAAGGTCTCAGTATAGTTACAACGGCTGCCCCGCCCTTCAAACTGAAACGCATTACTGCTTTACGGCAAAATCCAAAATATCTTCAGTTGGCAACATTAAAGATAACATAACACGATTTGATACATTTGTGTTTTTCTATGGCATAGTCACATTAATATAAAAATGCAAAACTACCCTTTCATGCTATATTTAATGTTGTCGGTTGTAGATATTTTGAATTGCCGCCATTGTAAGTAGTTGTGTCACGATTCGATGGCCATACTCTATTTACATTGATTAAAATACCTATAAAAACAGTCATTTATCCTTAAGCAAAAGAGTATTAATTATTTTTTACACTTGATTTCCACTAAATCGATCCTATTTTATGGATGTTCTAATTCTAATCCGCACGTTTGTGGAGCTAGTTACGTATATTGAAATAAGTGTTGCAGATGTTTACAAAGATTGTTTAAAACAAAAAATTGAATTCAACTTATTTTCTACACTTGGCCATTGTCAATGAAGCTAAGATTTTAATAGGTTAATCAAGCAAAATAGACGAATTTTTTGGTACATATCCCATTCGTGTAACGCTTAGGCCCAAAATGAGGTTTCTCCTTTGTAATTAACACATGATTTAGAGAAACCTTTACTAAACATTTTAACCCAATATTTTATTATTATTAAAAAACACTGGCACCGTAATTTAGTATGCGTATAATCTTGGCGTTCAGGTAACAAATTAAAGATTATCAATGTTTTTTTTTTCTTGTTGCTAACAATCTAATATCATAGTAAACAGTATTGTTTTAGTTTTTTTTTTTTCATATCAACTCAATCATTGCTTTCATCTTCTTTGGAGGGTAGATTAAAAAAATTGATCAACGGTTTTGATACATAATAAATTATCGGAACTTTTTGTCTGTCTGTAAAGTAGTTTTACTCTTAATCAATCGATAGTGTTATTATAACACTCATTAGCGGTCCGATAAGTTAAATTTATAAGTTTTTTATTATGAATAAGACCATTAGATTAAGTATCGCAAGTGTTCGTGTGTACGTACGGCAGGCACGTATTCTCCGTTGGGTGCGAGCTCGCAGATCTCGAACCAGACGAGCAGGTCATGCTTGGAGTGCAGGTGCGAGGAGCAGCAGGGTGGCGCTACACTGGCGGCCCCCCACTTGGGGCTCCGCACGGGGGCCGAGATGGGGATGGAGGGCGGCAACATGCGGCGTGGGGGCGTGCGACCTCCCACCGGGCCATCTTGTTTCGCATCCTTGGTTGATAATATACATTTAATATTAGACTTCATTTATATACGAAATCTCTATTTAACTATCACCCCAAAGATGTCCACGGCTGGATATAAACCTTCCCCAAGTCTCGCCACAAATATTGGTTCTGCGTTGCTTGCATGCAGCAGATCCAGTCTCGTGGGAGGCCTAGGTATATATACGATATACACGAAACCTTAAAACCTATTCCAAAAATACCAGGCAGTATAGCAATTACTGTTCTTTTCGTATTTCACATTAATATCTTTAATGACAAGTGTTAATACATTTAATGTGGCACTAACATAAAATTAATGTTTGGAGAAGTAGTCGATAATTGTAGTAACATTGACTAGCTAGTTTATGTACTTTCAACAAGTATTATCTACTTTTAAAACAGTACATTCTCTAGTGTACTGTTAGTGTACTGCTTTTCGCGAATTTCAAACAAAGATAATGAAATATCTTCTTCATATCTCACCAAGATAAAATCGATATTAATTTCAATGCAGTTTCAATCGAATCATCGTAATATCGATATTTTCTTACCTTATGTAACGGATGTTGCTGATAATGACCGAAGACTTCAAACACGATCGGTTGAGTTTTAATGTATTCCACAAATGATTTTGTAATCGGTACAGTTATCTGAAAGAAAAAATTTTAGTAATAATGGTTAAACATCTCTACAATTTTGTGTCAATGTCACATGAAAGTGGTTCTTCATTATTGTGAGTTCTGGCGTGATCATGTACAGTCCCCGTCACGAGAAGCTATAAATTTTGTAAACACAGAACTTCAACTAACTTACCGACAATTCAATTAAACAAATAATCCCAAATTCAATCAACTCTTAGTTAAAGTCGTGTAATACTAAACTGACGAGCGTTTCACTTGGTCGGGTTATGTTAGCATTGTCGTCTAAAATTTCGTGGTACTGGAACCCGTCTGACTCAGCTAATGTGAACATTTGGAAACGTTAAGGATGATTCCCTGATGCTTGCGTCTCCACAGACACAGCCCACTGAGTTTCTCACCGGATCTTCTGTGGGTCGCGTTTCTGATTCGGTTGTAGATTCTGTGAAGCACTGCTCTTGCTAGGGCTAATATTATCCACGTCAAGTTAGAGTCCTACATCTCACCTACTCGCCCGATTACGCTAGCATAGCCCACTAGGTTACCAGCTCAGGTAGGAAGTACCAAAAACAAAGCGTGCGTTTTTTTTAAAAACAAGCTAATTTGGATAGATTCAAAGTTTGCGTGTACGGATCCGACCCAGTCCGTCACGTATTGTACACTGAAACAGTCGTATCGACTGTGGCGACTACGTACATTCTGCACGTGGTAGAATCCGAGCGGTGTATTTTTTCCTGCGTTCTTGACGGGTTCGGTTGAGAAGGCGTCCTCGTTGCGGTGAAGGAAGCTGAAGGAAGCAGAAGAATAAAAATATTATAAAAAAACCAAGACTGCGAAGTTAGGAATTTAAGTCAGATGTGCAATTATGAGATAGTTCATATTTCATAATATTTTCTTCTAAAACTAAAACAAACTCACGGTCGACCTGGTGTTAAATGATTACATGAAAACGTGAATGCCGCCGCACACCTTGAGATATGATGTCGAAATGCCAATCGTGGTACAATTGCCGTCTCGTCCTTCAAAGAGGGAGACACGATTGCTTTGCTGCAGAAATGGACAGGACGGCGGTACCTATCCGTGCGGGCTTTCAACACCATATCACCAGCACATATCGGTTGGCGATAGCGGTACGTATTTGAATGTAACTGGTCAAGCCATTTTATTTTAAGGCACTTTTTATTCGGCCATTTATTAGTAGTTAATTCTATAACTTACTTGAACTGACAGAAGACATCAGCATAGTCGGTGGCGACGCTGTGAGCTTGGAGCACGGTGACGCGGAAGGTGAACTCCTTGCCGAGGGTCAAGTGTTCAGGCAAGTCTTCCTCTTTCAGTTCAGAGGCGAGAGAGCTGTCCCCGCGGCCGCTATCCGCATCGCACTCTCCTCCAGCCAATTCTGGCAAAGGACCAGTTGATGTTGAAGATAAAAAAATGTACATTTCAATTCGATGTAACTTACTTGGGATTCACAAGAGTAATTCTTAAATTAAATACAATAAATCTTTGAGTATATATTTATAACTACCCTCAAAATAGCATTGGGCGGAAGCTATATTGCCGCGAACCGACTAATGTACACGGAGATCATACAACAGCAGTTAAATTTTTGGCGAGAGCAAAATTGTGTGAAATGTTTTATTTTCATAATTTACAGTTTCTTCGGATTTCAATGTATAGCAATGGTAGTTTATTAACTGTGAAAGAACACAAAAATGAGAAAATGAAACAAAGTCACTAGAGATAGATGGCTTCTAAGGTTCTTTCACTAAATCCACTGAAGTCTCAGTAAATAACCACCATTTTACTAAGACTACCACCACCACTTCATCCCGTCTCTTTTTAGTTAAATTTCATCCCAATTGATTACAGTCTCGAATAAATCAACCTTCGCTCCATAAGTAATACCTCTCTAAAACTAGCCCCTCTAACACTACCTCCTCCAACACTTCGCTTCATAAACCAAAGCTGGGCCTACCCTCAATTTTGATGTTCGAGTCCTGGACCTCGGCGGCGCGTTCGTCCAGGTTGATGGCGTTGTTCTTGTCGACGCTGTTGGCGGCGCGGACCCGGGCGCGCGGCACTACATCGTCGTCGAAGCATATCTTGGCTGACTGCTTCACGCCAGCTGCGAATTCCGCGTTGTCTGTGAATGTCCGTTCGTTTTTTAGATGTTTGACGTAGTCAGTGTGTCGTCAAGGTATAGTGGTAAATTGTATTGTATGCTGCAAGTATTGTTTAGATTCAGGATATGATATCATTTTTGTTGTTTTTGCTATTGTTTAAAATTCCGCAACACATCTTTTTTTTTTTTTTTTTAATGCTTAGATGAGTGGACTAGCTCACAGCCCACCCGGTGTTAAGTGGTTACTGGAGCCCATAGACATCTACAACGTAAATGCGCCAACCACCTTGAGATATAAGTTCTAAGGTCTCAATTATAGTTACAACGGCCGCCCCACCCCTCAAACCGAAACGCATCACTGCTTCACGGCAGAAATAGGCAGGGTGGTGGTACCTACCCGTGCGGACTCACAAGAGGTCCTACCACCAGTAATTACGCAAATTATAATTTTGCGGGTTTCATTTTTATTACACGATATTATTCCTTCACCGTGGAAATCAATCGTGAACATTTGTTGAGTACGTATTTCATTAGAAAAATTGGTACCCGCCTGTGGGATTCGAACACCGGTGCATCGCTCAACACGAATGCACCGGACGTCTTATCCGTTGGGCCACGACGACTTCATGAGATGTGATTTATAAGGTCTCAGTTTTTGCAGTACAACGGCTGTCCTCACTCTTCAAAACGAAACGCATTACTCGCATCACGGCAGAAATAGGCGGGTGATGGTACCTACTCGCGGGTACTCACAAGACGTCCTACCGCCAGTAATTACGAAAATTAAAATTTTTGGTGGTTTGATTTTTATTACACGAACATTCCTCTTGTCAATTCAAATGCGGCACTGTAAAAGTGTAAAAGTCATGCAATTCCAAAAATTCGTTCAACAATTTTATTAATTGAACCTAAATGCTTTGGTTTAACATTTGTTTTCGTATAGTGAGCGGTAATATGATTGCAGTGGGGTCCTTACTCTTCTCGGCGTCGATGACGGCCTGCACGGCGACCCGGAGGTAGCCCTTCACGTCTCCTTTCTCGTTCACTATAGCGACCTTGTGAATGAGAGGAACCGGGTACAGGAGGTTCGACAAGTATACAAAGCTCCTGCAAAAAGAAAAAAATAACATTGTAGAGCGGACGTTTCGTTCCATCGACAGTTTTTGTTTTTGTCTTAGATGGTTACTGGAACCCATAGACATCTACAACATAAGTGCGCCACCCTCCTTGAGATATAAGTTCTAAGGTCTCAGTATACCCACCCTTTAAACCGAAACGCATTACTGCTTCACGGCAGAAATAGGCAGAGTGGTAGTACCTACCCGTGCGGACTCACAAGAGGTCCTACCACCAGCCATTTGAAAGTGACGTCATTTCAGAATTGTATTTAAACAAAATATTATTGGGAAAAACAATTGAGGCATACGTCCTTACCGTCCAACAAGACGGAACCACGGGAACCTATCGTAGAAAGGATCGCCGCCGGTGACCGACTCGATGTTGTGGTCGGGCGAAGTCGGCGACAGCTCGGCCTCGTTGTGATACATCTCGCGCATTAACTCGAGCCGTTGTCTGCACCGAAACATGTAAATGATTAAGCAACATATCATCGTTTTTCATTACATATCAAGATAATTGTTGTGATGATGAGACTGACGACGGACGATAAAACTAGATTTTGATCCCGTAAAAATCGATACAAACAGTCAGAGCTGGTTTGCAAAAGGAACTTTCTCGAATTTCAGTAGATGCAATATAAGCTATTTACAGTACAGCCGATCAACGGAAACAAAATCAAGTTTTACAAACAAACAAAAATAAACACGATTTATATAATATGAGAAAATTTTCAGTATTTTTGAGGAAGGGATAATAAACAGAAAATGAAATAAGAAAGAATGTACGTTAGTTCATACAGTCCAAGTTAAGACATGCACAGCAAGCACAGCAAATATCATCAAAGGCTGCTAAATACTATGGGTTCGAGGCATGCAACTAACAACATATTTATTCTTTAGTACGAACATACGACATGTAGGTATTTGATCAATTTCTACAAGCAAAGAATGGTTAGCATGGTAATGGTAGTAAAGAACGTTCGTCTCCCGGGATCGTTAACTAGGAACCATTAAAGCAGCCTTCCGATATTTTTGCCCCTGTAAGCGTGGATCCGCACATCGACAGCTTTTCCACCTCCGTCTTCGTACTGAAGAGGAGGAAGAACCAGTTTTTGTTAAGCTTCAGCCGTTTGAGAGACAAACCTCGATGGTAGCAAGTTGGCTAGGGAGAGGCGGGTTTGTTGCGCGCAGGCCGATATACATTGTAGGATGTCGGCGGGCGGGGGCGGCGCCCCGATCGAGGGCGGAGCACCTAGGGGCGTGGTCTCCTCGTCCTCTACGCACGAGCTCTCGTTCATGTTGTATATCTGACGCATTAGCTCCAGACGATGGCTATGGACAATACACTGCCTTGTAGCCTACGGCCCGCCCCTCGAATTTAAAATCGATATTTTTGTCTTATATTTTAAAGCCCATTCCGGGTGCTTTTAGCACTAATAACATACCTATCACTAGAACCATACTATTTCTAGACAATACGTATTGCCATATCTAAAAATTAATTACAAAAAAATATGTATTTTTTAATGTTTGACGAGTGTGTTATTTAAACTAATGTGACAAGACTGTAATTTAATTTAAAAATCGAATTCTGTTCTGTACTATTATTATTTTTGTATATTATTATAAATATTTATATTATTAAGCAAAAATGAACAAATAAATAATAATAAGAAGCAGCAAATGAATAAGGCTAGATATATATATAACAATGTGACACAGCTAACATTCACTCCTATTAATATTACATGAAATTTTACTTACCTGACTGTTCATATATATTTCATTATTGCTCATAAAAAACTCAACAAACATGCCGTAGTCGATACTCTTTAGGACTTCAAACATGAATTTGAAGTTCTTATGAAAAATACTATAAACAAATTGTGTATTATGGTTTTTATAAAATGTATTTTCTATCTTTAACATACTCATTTCGGCGGCTTCAGCAAAATGTCACCTTTATACATTCTCATTATATTTTAAATAAACAAAAAAGTAATATTATAAAAATAATCAAAATCAAATGCAACAAAAGAATCTAACTACTTAATACTGTGTTGTTTTTGTATAAAAAAATATTACAGAACCGAATCAAAATAAATGATAATAATATAAAATATAATATTTTATTACAACTACACTTTCTCGATTGAGGTGCGTCTCCACTAAACACCCTACGCTATATCGATCAAATTATCGATATTTTTGTGTCAAACCTTGCAGAAAAGTAATGTCGCCAAAACTTCTTTTAAGAACTCGATTGCTTTAGAAGTATAACTTTAAGAACTTAGTCCACACGTCACTTCAAAATCTGTCCTAATCCTGAGTTCGATAAAGAGATTTTAAATCGAAACGGACTCACGGACTTTTTGGCGGGAACGCGAGGAGTAATGTTGTGTGATTTGTTTTATTTTGTCTATTTAGTGTTTCTCCAGGTCTTAAATGTGTAATAACGGTGGTTTGTTAACTGTTTAGTATCTGTGCAAGTCCACATATGTGGAAAAATGAAACAAAGCCGACGAACGAACTTCTCGGGATCCTCCATAAAGTCCACTGAAAAGGTCGCCGTAAATAACCACCATTTTACTGAGATTATATTACATCCCATAACATCACATCTCGTTTCATTTAATTTCATGCCAATTGATTAAATTTCCTTCGTTTTTTATTATTCATAAACTGTAAATAATCAAAACGTCGAATTATAAAAATCTTATTACTCGACGCTGGCTAACGCACAAACCGTGCCGGAGCCAAAAAATAAAGATGAAGCATAAATAGACTCACCGTAGCTTCTCTAGGGTCCAGTAGTGCGTGGCGCCGTTCTTGGTGTCAGTGACCTCAACGGCGACCACCGTGGGCGCGCTGGGCCGGTACTCGTCATCGGCGTCGTCGCGGGGGGCCAGCTCCGCGGGGAGGGGGGAGTACGGCGTGTCCGTTAGCAGAGTGAACTGAAACTGAACTTTCTTGCGCAGCTCCACTGAGATCGCGTTCGCTTCCTGTTTAAAAAAAAACCAAAATGAGTTTGAAAAAAAACATTCACTCTCAGAATATTACAAACATCAGAAGTACATTCTCTCGTTTGTAAATAGTTGGTTGAGTTTTCATCGTACTTCAATGGAAATGAGTTATTAAAGCACTGATTCAAATCGTCTTATATAGACTACATAAATGAATATTATTCCCATAACAAGCACTAAAGTAGAAACATAAACCTCTGTCTATGTTGTTTTTTTTTCAGTGTTCAATGAATAAATAGTAGATAATGAATTAATAGTAAGTTAGTACTTATTTAATAGTAGATTAGGTAGAGTAATTGTATTATGTTTAAAGTGATTTCCTTTGTGATTGTGATTTATTGTTATTTCTTTACATTAAAAGTTAGATTGTTTTTTTATCGTGCTGTCTTGTCCTCTGCCTATGATTAGTTGTGCGTGCAAGGCTTAAGTTACAAGCCAATTTTTTTACTTGTTGTTATTTATTGTGTATCTTTTCTTTTTTAAGCTTGTAATGTGTTTTGTGTGCTTAATAAATAAATAAATATATAATATAAAAAAGTATACCTTGAGGAAAATCGCATTTCCCCAGAGGTCGTCTCGGAGCGACGTGAACTGATGGTACTTCCACTTGCGGAAGGCCCAGGCCGCCAGCCCCACCTCGCGAGCAGACCAGCACTCCGTCTCGAACAACGGATTCACTGCAGCACATGATTAAAACAGTTTCCTTATCTGGGTAATAGGTGGCACTGTTTTTGGTGTTGCCAATAAAAAAATCTTTTTTTTTTTAAGTGAAACTTCTTTCGATTCGTTGTGATTTCATGCTCGATGAAACGAAAAAATAAGTCCATAGAGACACAAACACATAAATGTATAGGATTCAGCCGGCGAGAGAATGAGATAGAACACATTAGACGCTCTCGGTCTCCTCTTTGTGCGACTCTTCGTAGCATCCCCACTATCGTCTACTAAACATTGTCCATATGTTGCTCCTGTGTAGTGTAGTGTAGATAGTCAGTACATCTACATATATCTATGTCTTATTTATAAGTTTCACTTCTACCGTGTGTGACTTGCACACACACACACACTTTTTTCTACCTATTCTAGTAACCCCGACGGGTTATTCTAGATTCACCGAACTAGTGGGTGAGCTTACGGGGCTCAAACCAGGAATGTTGTTAATACTGGCCATAGCAAGAGCAGTGCTTCGCAGAATCTACCACCGGATAGGAAACGCGACCCACTGAGAAGTTCCGGCGAGAAACTCAGTGGGCTGTGTCTGTGGGTTAATTTACTCGTAGAGCCCTTCGTCGCAAGCGACGGGTTCGGCGAGGACGGTGACCAGTGCCTGAGGTAACTAAAAAGGAAATTATTTATTTATTTAAAATTTCAACCTTAACAAATCCGTCTAACAATAATTGATATTTTTTTATTGCTTAGTTGGGTGGACGAGCTCACAGCCCACCTGGTGCTAAGTGGTTACTGGAGCCCATGGACATCTACAGCGTAAATGCGCCACCCACCTTAAGATATAAGTTCTAAGATCTCAGTATAGTTACAACGGCTGCCCCACGATGTTATTCCTTCACCGTGGAAGTCAATCGTGAACATTTTGAATGAAACTCTGAAATCTTTTTTGCTTTTGCTCTTGAACTTACCGAATATATCTTCATCGTTATGGAAGTCCTCGGGTGTGTAGGAGCTGTACATGGACATCGTTACGCTCTGCTCCTCCACCTGACGCTGGAGAGCATCGATGCGAGCCTCGTAGTTCTAAATAAATATATATATTCTAAGTCAAAATCCATATTGACCTTAAAGGCGCAACATCTATTGTCACTAACCGTCGACTTAACTTTAAATAATTTTTTTAGAGATAATTTTGATTTGTTGGTACATACTCGTATTTCAAATGGGTTAGCATTGAAAAAAATATTGCAACGTTTGTACATATACCTAATATAAAAATAAACCGGACCTAAAATGGTTAGCATTGTAAGGACTTTTCGGCGGTAACGCGAGGAGTGGTGTGTTTTTTTTTTTTTTGTCTATTTAATGTTTCTTCAGGTTTAAGTGTTTGCACAAATGTGGGAAATTGAAAAAAAGTCGCTGGACATAACTTCTCGAGATCCTCCAAAAAGTCCACTGAAACAATCTCAGTAAATGACCACCATTTTACTGAGATTATATTTAATCCCATATCATCTCATTTCATTTCATTTCATCCCAGTTGATTAATGTCCCAAATTAATCATTTTCATTACATTTCATTTCACTCCATATTTTATTATCATTTTTCATAAAAATAAGAATATAAATTAAAATAAGACATGACTTAAAGGTCAGTCGTCAAAAGTCACCAGGTTATAAAACTCTTTAAAAAAAAAAGTAGCATTGTAAATATTGTGTCATATTGTCTGTGGTCTTAGTTCCACAGAGTTTTCTAAAGTTAGAATAATACGTTACCTTACGCTGCTCCTCGAACTGCTGGTCGGCGTGCTCCTTCTCCCTGCGGAACTGTTCCTCGAGGGCCATCAGACGCTTCTGCATCTCCGCCTTCAAGTCGATGCCTTGTTTCTCTAGCAACTCGCACTGAGCGAAGTCCCAGTCGACGTTCTGATTTTCTGTATCGCTGCCTGAAAATTCAGATAAAACGCTAAATAAGGTAGATATTCTTAATCTATACTAATATTATGAAGCTGAAGAGTTTGTTTGTTTGAACGCGCTAATCTCAGGAACTACTGTTCCGATTTGAAAAATTCTTTCAGTGTTAGATAGCTCATTTATTGAGGAAGGCTTATAGGCTATATAACATCACGCTAAGACTAATACAAGCGGAGCACCAATAAATATTGTTTCCAAATCGAGGTGTTTTTCTCTTTGAAATAGCTCTTTAACGTTCTATTATTCAAAAATATTTTCGGAAAAAGTGGCGGGCAAAAGCTAGTATTTATTAAAATTAAGGATCTGATCATACGTACTGTTCTCGGTAGCGACTTCAGCTGCCGACTCGGTGGAGTCTGTGAGCGCCTTATTGACGGGCGGCAGCTCGCGCGGCTGCCCGGGGTGGGTGAAACGGAACACGTGGTTCTTGCCCAGGATCACGCGGGAACCGCTCTTCAGTATCACGGGCTCTTCCAGCTACAAGGAATAATACTTTACTTTCTAAGTGTACTTCGAAGATCGAGAAGAAGAAAACGCAGACACACTTGAATGTATCTTTTTTTATACAAAGAATATTACTTTTCTTTCTAAATGTACTTCGAAGATCGAGAAGAAGAAGAAAACGCAGACACACTTGAATGTATCTTTTTTTATACAAAGAATAATACTTTTCTTTCTAAATGTACTTCGAAGACAGAGAAGAAGAAGAAAACACAGACACACTTGAATCTTTTTTTATCTACATATATAACTTCAATTCAAAAAAGTTCATTTAGACTTTTTTATTCAACGGCATTGTTCTATTGGTCGACATTAATTCCTACTGCTTTGCTGTATAAAACTTCCTTATAAAACATGAATTCGATTAATAGTATCTAGTAACAATATGACATATGAACTTCGTCGATAGACGGGCTAGATATTACACAAAGACGTTTTGCATTTGTTTTATTCGTAACTTGTGACAATTAATTTCAAAAATTAAAAGAAATCAGTACATCTCTCCTTTAATATCAGTATATAAGTAATATCTGAGAAATGCCTGAATCGCGCTGACGCCATTGTCAAGGCCGGTTTCCATATACACAACCAATACTAACGCGCAATTTCAGCTCGCTCAGCAGAAGATCTTCCCTTTGTAGAGCAACCTAAAAGCAACTAGCATAAGGTCTAATATCGCACCTCCCGTCCGTTGACGTAGACGCGATTGAAGAAAACCTTCTCTTTGTAGAGCAACCTTAAAGCAACTATCATAAGGTCGAATATCGCACCTCCCGTCCGTTGACGTAGACGCGTTTGAAGAAAATCTTCTCTTTGTAGAGCAACCTAAAAGCAATTAGCATAAGGTCGAATATCGCACCTCCCGTCCGTTGACGTAGACGAGGGCCCCGCGGTGCGGAATGAGGCAGATCACGCCGTCCGCGTTCTCGAAGATGCAGTGCTCGCTCAGTATGTGCGAGCCGGACAGCTGGATGTCTTGTGGGACTTTCGCTTCGGACGTGCCCACGCGAGTCACACCTTACAATACAAAAAAATCAATCATTAAAATCAATATATTATTATCTATACTAATATTATAAAGAGAAAAGATTTGTTTGTTTGTATTGAATGGGCTCCGAAACTACTGAGCCGATTTGAAAAATTCTTTCACTGTTTCTAAACTACACTATCCCCGAGTGACATAGGCTATATTTTTTTTATAAAAATAATAAAAAAATAGATAAAAACAAATATTATTTAAATGAAAATAAAAGTTCATTAAAATTATATATTAACATTCAAACTATCTTTATAATTTTCTATTTTTAGAAAACTGACGCCAATGTAAGGGTTAATGTGTGTGTATTATAACTTTTTATTTTGAAATTTTTATGACCCGAGCGAAGCCGGAGCGGGCCGCTAGTGATAAATAATTTGGTTACTATTCTTCATATATGACAGAGTTCCGCTCTGACTCTGACAGAGACAGACGAACTTTTATACTAAACGCTTTAATTCACAATATTTGATTTGTGTTAAATATGTTAGTCTCGAATTAAAAAATTGTAGAAATAAAACTGATGGAAGGAACGCGGCCATAAACAGAACAACTACTATCAGGGAAAACGATAGACGGAATAGCCCCTTAGGCTACCAGCGAATAGGTTGGGAAAAGCATTAATAGCAAATTAGTGAAGCGGTGAAAGGATCTAACGTGGTAGTTTTACTGGTGGTAGGACCTCTTGTGAGTCCGCACGGGTAGGTACCACCACCCCGCCTATTTCCGCCGTGAAGCAGTAATGCGTTTCGTTCTGAAGGGTGGGGCAGTCGTTGTAACTATGCTGAATCTTAGAACTTATATCTCAAGGTGGATGGCGCATTTACATTGTAGATGTCTATGGGCTCCAGTAACCACTTAACATCAGGTGGGCTGTGAGCTTGTTCAACCATCTAAGCAATAAAAAAATAAAAAAGGGATCATATACTGTTTGCTCAGTAAGTTGGTAGCGTAATAAAAGGATAATCTATGTAAAAATTAAATACATTGAAATCTACAAATCGTTCGCCTTCTAGCTAGTCTCATTCTTGCATTTCCATGATACATGGAACTTATCGAATTAAACAATAATAATATTTTGGTCGGGCAGTGTCGTATAATAACCGCTTACCGTCTTTTATATAGTACAGCAGGCATTCGGACAGGTTCGGGTCTTCGTTCAAGTTGACGAGGTGTGGCGTTTTCTTCGGCGAGTATATGCCGACGGTGATGCCCTCCTTGACAGCAAGACCCATTTCCGCGAAGACGGCTTCGCGCTGGACGCGGATCTGTTCCGTCCGCTTGAGTTTTTCCTCCCAAGTTTCGTTCAGTTCTACGAATGTGACGGTAGTTTGTTTAAAAGAAATATGACGGTAGTTTGTTTAAAAGAAAAATGACGGTAGTTTAAAAGGGTAGATATCTCACAGGTCGAATTCAAAACGTTATATCGTCTTCCCGCATTAAAAGTGTATAATCTCAAAACTTACTAATTGTACAGGAGAGTGTTTTAAAGGTTTAACATGTGATATTAAGTAAGATAAAATTATGTATTAATTTTGTTAATAGTAGTAAAAACATAGAGAACTAAAAAAAAATTAAAACTAAACTACGCTCTTTTGACAGTATTTGTGAGGAAAATACTGGTGATATCAAATGATTCCGCATATTAACTCAATTTCGAATATTTTAGGAAATTGTACACTTTTAATGCGAAAAGACGATATATACAAGTTTGATTGTGACAGTGTAATTTGAAGAGCAGCGCAATAAAATATACCTGGTTAAACCAAATGAAGTGGTTTTCACGCAAATCTCTCTTGCTATTTCACAAGTCCTTCTAGATTGGGCCTTAGTAGCTCACTTCAGTCCGCGCGTAGTTGGAATAACCCTTTAGGCTAGGCAGCGGTAGGCAGCGGCTTGGTTCTGCCCCTGGCATTGCTGTAGTCTATGGGCGACGGTAACCACTCACCATCTGGTGGGCCGTACAAGGACTATAAAAAAAGGCTACCAACAATTTGGTAAAGGATACAAAAAATGCAAAGTTTCTGGTGTTTTTGGTATTGATATTTAGTACTCACCAGCGATAAGCTTCTCGGAGGCTTGAAGCTGGTCCACTGCCTCTTCAGCAATGGTGGTGGCAGCTCGCGACAGCTTCGGCGACAGAACCTCTGCTTCGCTCTTTTTGCGTTGCGGCGACGAATTTTGTTCGCCTGATTTAAACCGCAGTATATTCAATTTCGATGTTAATGTTTTACGAGTTTTTCTCATTTATTAAAAAAAAGGGTTATTACATATTAATATTATAAAAATGAACGGGGTTTTTTTGTTTTACAGCCCCATTGTTCACGTATGACAAGCAACATCAGGGTTAGGTTAGCACTTAAAATCGCCTGTTTTTTATTACTATCATTTTCAGTATATCTATACGATAATGAAAATCGGTAATGGATAGATATAAACTTTGATGTTATTGTGAACGTAAAATTGGTGGTTTTCGATATTAAATATTTCGTCATTTCGTTGTATGTATGTATCATTACATTAAACGAGCATTTTGCATCACAATCAATAATATTATAATACAAACAGCATTAATAATACGTAAGATGACATGCAAAATGTTGCCAGCTAAAAAAAGCTTTTTTTTTTTCTTATTGCAATACAAAATTTTACCCTTCTACAACCTTGAGACTGTTCGAATTTTGATGCATTGCCCAATTACAGTCTATACCCGAAATAGCTATAAAGATGAAATCGAATTGAAAGAAACGAGAATTTAAGTGAGGCAAATAAATATATATTTTCACAAAATCGACAATACGCAACATCGAAAGCTGACCCCAAATAAATTATACACTTACGGCAAACGAATATAGCTAAGTATTTATAACTAAATACAATATCTTAATTCATTTTTTATGTACGGAGATAATAGTCGATTAACACCAATAAAAGCGCATATATACGATAAAGACCCACTTTATTCAATAAATATTATTATGCAAATTTAATACGTGTACATTAAAAGTACTTTTCGTACGCCTACGCCACAAGCGTTGAAAGAAGGGTGCAAAATAAATTGCTCTCAAGTGTTGGGTTGCCAGTATAATTTTTTTTTTGTGGCAACCCAGAACTTCAATGGAGGCTAAGCGTACAGGTGGGGTGTACATATGCAAAAATGCGCAAGCCTCGTTTTTTTTTTGTTTGTTTACTTACTGATTGGCGGTTCTTTCTTTTCGTAAATGACTCTACCGTCTGGTCCTAGTACGTGAGGGTTTTGAAAACAAAGATAAAATATCTTAGTTATTACCTTTTTTTTTATAACGAATAAGCAAATGAGACTGTGGCGTCGGTTGCTTTCGTTCATTCTTTTTTTAAACTAACATTCACACAGAACACTCTATGTTTGTTCACGTGACGACTACGAACACAACCTAAATTTAATTTACAAGTGCTAAAACGGTTCAGTTCGATGGATGAAATACAGTTTGTTATATACCTCAGAAGCGCAAGATTTAAAATAAATGCATTTTTAACAAAGTCTTCCTTAATACAGTATTTCACCTATCGACGATATGCAAGAGGTAACCAAGGCAAGAACGTGACGCGAATTCAATCTTACCTTCTTCCACGTCGATTCCTTCAGCCTTGAGCAGTTCGCGAAGCTTCAGGATCTCCTCTTTGAGTTCGCGGATGAGTTTAGCGTTCGCGTCCTCGTTCACGATCGCCTTGCATACGATCTGTTTGGCTCGATCCGCGTATCTGTTTGGTTGCACATTGCCTATCATATTTATTGTATTCGCTGGAGGAAACCGTTCGTGCACCGACCACACACTTACATTTACTGGTGGTAGAACCTCTTGGGAATCCGCACGGGTAGGTACCACCACCCTACTTATTTCTGGCGTGAGGCAGTAATGCGGTTCGGTTTGAAGGCTGGGGCAGCCGTTGTAACTATAGTGAGAATTTAGAACTTATATCTCAAGGTAGGTGGCGGCATTTATGTACAAGAGGTCCTATCACCAGTAATTTAGACCTTCACCGTGGAAGTCAATCGTGGACGTTTGTTAAGTACGTATTTCATTAGAAAAATTGGTACCCGCCTGCGGGGTTCGAACACCGGTGCATCGCTACATACGAATGCACCGAACGTCTTATCCTTTAGGCCACGACGACTTCAAATTCAAGTGATCTCCAGTGCGGCCGGTCTGTTACCCCCTGCATCCAACGTGACCCAGCGGTTCTTACCAGGCCATTGATTCAGTGAAAATAAATCTTAGCACTTCACCTAAGTGTACTGAGCGTCTCGTCGAAGTTGATGTCGGCCGGCGAGATGGCGGCTATCATGGCGGTCTTCGAGTTCCCGCCGAGGTTCTCGCGGAGCAGCCACGTCAGCACCGAGTCACGGTACGGTATGAAGTCCGCCTTCTTGGACTTCTTGCTCTTAGATGCCTGACAAGGTTGATGCTGATTATAACTTCATTATGTAAAACGTGTATTAATTTAAAAACACAGAGACGGTTATTTAGTTAATGTCGGTCATAAAACCAACCACAAACCAGATCAAATATAATACACGTTTTGCTGAACCGTACTTTTGTTTAGAACAACAAATCAGTTAGGTTGCATATCATTTCTATGAAAAATATACACACACGATATAAATGAATATGTAATTTCGATAAGACATGTCGCATATTTTGTCAAATACATTTTTTCATATGTACTTTTGAGGCTTACCTACACCCATTTTAAAAATAATTCCAGTAATTTTCAATTGCTAATTAACACTAAAATATATCTCAAAAGTTAATATTTTAAATTTTACACTGCTTTAGAATAGAAAATAATCAGTTGTTTTCATTTCCTGAACATTTTACATTTTCAGAGATGTGCCCTTTTCGAAATTGCATTATCCTTATTAATGATGATACAACGTTGTGTAAGCCCGCACGGATAAATAAATACCACCATTCTGCATATTTCTGTTGACACAGACGTTATACTGTACAATTGAGATTTCAACCGCATATTTCAAGATGGGTGGAAGTTTACGTTGATGGCTACGAACTCCGGTAATCACTTTACACCGACCGGGTAAAAGCGGTGAGGTTGTTCGTCCAACTACGTAATAAAAAAAAAATTGCTTCCACCGGGATCATCACACCTTAACTACGTATTATCAGAGGCACAATACAAACAAGCCATGTGGTAAGTTACAGAGAAATTAATGACAATGAATATATATTTTTAGAATGGTTTAAATACCGCCGATTATCGCTGTTATAATGTTTAATTACAAACATTTATAGACAAATGTCGTACATCAGATATACATACACATTTCGTTCGATCATGCCACTTATACAGGGTGTCCCCCAAATTGTATTATCATCATTAACGCCCCCGCAACTGGTGTAGGGAGTCCAACACTCATACAAATATTAACCTATCCATTAAGTGCATGTATTTTCTACATGGATACCAAGTTTCAAGTCAGCCGGATGCACGGTTGAGTAGTTATAACGGAACATCCATAAAAACCACTGTAGATAATATTAGTATAGATTTAATGTGATCAATGTTGGTATTATAGCCATGTTTCGTCTTGACATTGTGGGACACCCTGTATAACAACAATCAGTCTAGAACACACGAAGAACGTCTAGATTGTTCCACACTAACACCCCATACAGACTAACTAGCAAAAGGTATACTTACCGACTACGCAATCCGAAATGCAATTCCGTGCAAGAAAACAGCATAAGAATAGTGAATATCAATATAAACATTTCATACATTTTCATTTACGTACAAGCCATCTAAAATCTATTTACTACACGAAGTTCAAATTTAATCTATAACATATTCATTCATTTAACGAGAAGAAAGTTAATGCTTTATTGGTGTCATACTTACAATTTCGGCTAGAGCGGAAATCACTTTTCCGAGTGTGGTCAGAGATTTGTTGATGTTAGCTCCTTCCTTGAGACGAGTTCCTTTGGCTCCGGTAGAATCGGCACGTTCCGAGCCGGCCAGATCGACAAGCGATATTTTCGAGACCTAAGATTTACCATCGTTAGAATAGATTAAGAAAACTGTCAAGGAACGTTTTTGCAACAATGCATATTATAAAGTTAAGGGTTATCTACTAGATGGCACTACGTGGAAATGAGGCGTTCGCTCCTGGCCTTTTCATTTTTCATTATTATTATTATTTCGTAATTGTATTTTTTGACTTGTTTTATCGTTTATTGCAAATATTTTTACTTATTTAAAAACAAAACAATTTTTTGAAAAAAAAAACAATAAAAAAGCCCGCTGAGTTTGTTTCGCCGGTTCTTCCCAGGACTGTGGCTTTTTTTTAGAACCGGTGGTAGAGTTAACATTTGTTATTTATATTTTGACATTCAACAAGTGTGTTATACTGACATCTAAGTTGAAATAAATGATTTTGAATTTGAATTTCAATTTGAGATCGTGAGGATCGTAATACGTAAACGCGTAGGGTACAATATACGTGCCTTTTCGGACATCAAATTCGTAGTGACGTCATGACGTTGCTGCGTGAAGAATATGGTGAAGACGGCGTGAGAGCGAGACGACGTCTCGTTCATGTTCGTAGCCGCCACGGTCCTAGCAGACGAAACGATTAGTTAATTCAAGCAAATTCCAATCAAATAGACTATTGGAACCATTTGCAAGCAAAGGTTAACCCTCAGACACAGCCCGCTGAGTTTCTCGCCGGATCTTCTCAGTGGGTCGCGTTCCCGATCCGGTGGTAGATTCTGCGAAGCACGGCTCTTGCTAGGGTTAATGTTAGCAACGTCGTCAAATTTGAGCCCCGTGAGCTTACCTATTTGTTAGGGTTACGCTGAAATTGCCTCTCAAGGCCATCAGCTTAGATAGAAAAAAAACTAAGGTGCAAATCGCGGATTGTGTTATCGAGGTAAAAATCGAATTCGCAGACTTTTAAATGATCCAACATTGCCAATAAAACGGTGGGTGTAACAAAAAAACCACTAAATAAATTTGTCTCACCTAGCTTTGTTACCCTCGTCGATGAGATCGTAAATGTCTTGGTAGGAGGTGACCGCCAGTTTGCTTAGATCCTCCACGTACGGTCCGAGGGCGGGGTGCTCACGGACCCGAAGATTTCCCTTATTCTTGGGGTTCAGTAAGTCACGAACCCGTTCGCAATAAATTTCCATATACGACACTTCAACCTGCATCATGCGAATTTTGTGTTTTTTTTTTAAATAACACAAGTAATAGATATAATTAATTAATTTTTTATTGCATTTTGAACCAACAGATCAATTGCATCACTCACCGAATATTTGAGATCATCGGACGTAGTCTGTCTGATGCGCCTGAACAGATCCTTGCAGATCTGAGGAATGATGCCCTCCTGACCATCCTCACCGCGGCCCATCATCGTATAAGATTTACCAGCCCCGGTCTGACCGTAAGCGAATATGCATATATTGTAACCTGAAAGAAATAATTTGATTTAAAGACATCTCCGTTACAAAATAATGTAGATCTATCTATCGGTCATAAGAAGGTTCTCGATTCGAATACGAAATATCGAAGAGATATGTTGCACTAATTCTCGTAAATATAAAAAACCCTTCCGCGGACAAAGACACGTATGTGCTTATTGCGAGCTTTTTAACGTTCTCGATAGCGTAAAAGTTAACGCAAATTTGTATGGAGCTGGAACAGCGCCTCTAGCGGCAAACGTAGGCAAACGTTTCAAATCAATACAAATTGTAATTAACTTTTACGCTATCGATAACTTTAAAAAACTCGAACTAAGCACATTGGCTAAAGGAATTCATTTCCATTACGAATTCCGTGAATAACTACATTGGTGGTAGGACCTCTTGTGAGTCCGCGCGGGTAGGTACCACCTCCCCGCCTATTTCTGCCGTGAAGCAGTAACGCTTCGGTTTGAAGGGTGGGGCAGCCGTTGTAACTATACTTGAGACCTTAGAACTTATATCTCAAGGTGGGTGGCGCATTTACGTTGTAGATGTCTATGGGCTCCAGTAACCACTTAACACCAGGTGGGCTGTGAGCTCGTCCAACCATCAAAGCAATAAATAAAAAAAACATATTTTGTCTTTATCTTGATCAGATGAAAAACAATGATTCACCAAGTAACTTGTGTTTTTATAATGCAACCTACTTTGTTGATGATAGATCACCATACAACATTTAAAACTAGAGACTTACCAACATTGTATTCTGAATGATGTTGTATTAGTATATTAAGAATTCTGTAATAAAAACTCACCGTCGAAAGCGTGTTGTAACATCTCTTCACCGATGTCTTTGTACACCATGACTTGTGATGAAAATTGGGGATCATTTGGCTGCAACAAAACCAAAATTTTAATTTTAATACAATTATGAATCTTAGCGACTATTGATCGCTGGAATGGATACAATCCTGCAGAACCACTATGAAATGTGGTCTTCGAAGCTCATTTGGATATCGACATAAACTCATAGCATCCGGGCAACTCATATTTTTTAAATATAAATATATTAATCAAGTTTGGTTTTTAATTGATTTACTGAGAATTGGATAGCATGTTTAACGTTAATGTCGCAAGGACTAATTTAGTTATCAGTTGAACTATAAATCTATTATATTATTTACATTTTTCTTTTTTATTGCGTATAGAGACAGCCCAGCAAAGCGAGTCAAACAACTGCCTACCGAACATACATTATAATATTGTACCGAACGTTAATGTACATATGTATATTCCAAATCGTTTACAAAATAAAACTCAAGATCGAATCTTGTATTCAAGAATTTAGTATTTAATTATCTGCCGCTACTTCGCCGCTTTTCTCATACAGCAATTTACTTTTGTCTCGTTGTACAAAATCGCCTTCTATTTATCCACTCACTGCACTCAGCAAAAAATTGTAGTCCGGGAGCCAGTGACTAGGTATAATCTGACAAATTTTCAAGTGGGAGGAAATGACTGAAAAAAACTTTTTTTTTTCCATGCGTGGGATGTTACCACTGGCCGCCCCACCCACGGAGTCGCAGCTGACGGTCGCGAGTATTCATAGTATAGGTCCCTAATGCATTTTACGAAGTTTCGCTCGAGAAGAAATAATTGACCGAAATCGTACCTGGCTCCTGGACCATTGGTGGAACATACGTTCCTTGCAAATGTACTTCCCGGAAATCAAATTCGGAACCTCGGAATCGAAATCAATTCGTTATTACATACATATATCATAAATTGCGTTCTCGAAGCGGTTAATATTCCGACAGCAGCTGAACGACGGTACGCGAATAAATTTACAATAATTTGAATGGATTACAGCATTACCTACTCGTTGACTGAATATGCAAATGAGCAATGGGCATTAGGCTCGAGAGTAGCAATTAAAATCAGTCACAGTCCATACGTACTTTTACAATTTAACGAATTAGACGGTAGTTGAATTCGTTTTCGTAATAAAACAAAATAAACCATGCAAATAGTTCACTGATGTAGTTTTTGAATTTTAATTTTATTGCATTCGAAGTAAATGATACAAACTGCTATAAAAACTTAACTACAGATTTTACGACGCTTGCCCTATTTTTAACATCAAAAAACTTTGTAAATACGAGGGCTGCACTAAAAGTATCGGGAACGGAATATTTCCACTGTTCCTGTCATATTAAAATCTTTTTAATTGAAAACTCCTTGGTTTTAAAAATCGAATACCATTTATTTATTTTAAAAAAAATTCTCCGTCTTGTCACGAGGTTTTGTCGAACTTGTTTAGTCGTTAAGAAAATGGAATTGACTCGAGAAAATTCAAGAGTGATGATTTATTATGACTTTCGAAGTGGTTTAACACAAAAACAGTGTGTTGACCGGATGATTTCTGCATTTGGTGATGAAGCCCCATCCAAAACCACAATTTTTCGCTGGTTTGCTGAGTTTCAACGTGGACGTGTCAAGCTCAGTGATGATCCCCGTCAAGGTCGTCCAAAAACTGCAGTCACCCAAGAAAACGTTGATGCTGTGCGTAAGCTGATTGAGGAAGATCGTCATGTGACATACCGCGAAATTCAGGCAACTTTAGACATTGGCATGAGTCAAATACAAATAATCTTGCATGAACAATTAGGTGTAAAAAAGTTGTTTTCCCGATGGATACCGCATTCGCTCTGTGAAGAGCAAAAAGCGGCTCGCGTTACTTGGTGCGTCAGAACTCTCGAAAGATTCCACGCAGGATCCTCAAATGCTGTATACAACATTGTATCAGGTGACGAATCCTGGATATACGCGTACGAACCCGAAACAAAAAACCAGTCACGAGTTTGGGTGTTCGAAAATGAGTTAAAGCCAACAAAAATTGTTCGTTCACGGAGTGTTGCAAAAAAAATGGTGGCCACGTTTGTCTCCAAAACCGGCCATGTTACGACTATTCCTCTTGAGGGACAAAGAACGGTTAATGCAGAATGGTATGCTAGCATTTGTTTGCCACAGGTCGTTTCTGAACTCCGTAAAGAGAACTGCAACCGCCGCATCATCCTCCATCACGACAATGCGAGTTCTCACACCGCGCACAGAACAAAAGAGTTTTTAGAGCAAGAAAACATAGAATTATTAGACCATCCGCCGTACAGCCCCGACCTAAGCCCTAATGATTTCTATACTTTCCCTAAAACAAAGAATAAATTGCGTGGACAGAGATTTTCATCACCTGAAGAAGCTGTGGACGTCTACAAAACGGCCATTTTGGAGACCCCAACTTCCGAATGGAATGGTTGCTTCAATGATTGGTTCCATCGTATGGAAAAGTGTGTCAAATTTCGCGGAGAATACTTCGAAAAGCAATAAATACCTTTTTAAATAGTTATGTTGTGTCACTTCGTTAATTCCCGAAATTTTCAGTGCAGGCGGCACAAAATGTAACCATTTAATCTCGCAATTTTTATTTTCATTTTACATCGTTTGGAATGCCCGAAATCATTAAGAACCACTACACCTAATTACGCAAGGCCACAACAACAAAAGCCATAGAAATAGTGCGGAATAATCGAATAATCCTATAATCTGTTTTAGCCAATTTTAGGTAGAATCGATATAAGTCACCACGGGAGAGATTCACGAATTTTAAACGAACTAGAGGTCCCGCAGTAGTCGAAATTCGACTATAATTGGAATTGTAAATTTGTACACTATTATGATTGTATTTTATACTTCTATAATCACAAATTTCGCCAAGGCTACACTATAAAAAATATTAATAAAGACAAACAATATTTATTCTATTCTCAATTTGACCACAGACGTCAAGAACAAAAGTTTTACAATAAATAGTATGCATGCGTGTGTTCGTCAAATACATGGTATGTAGTGTGTGTATGTAATGTTGTCTTTATGGTTTTAATGTATCTTTTATGCATTATTTAAAAAATATATTAGCATTGTGCACTTCTTCTCTATATTCTCTATAAGTGTGGAAAATTTCATACTCCTCCGTCCGCGCAATTTTCGTAAAAAGGGATACAAAGTTTTTGCTTCACGTATTAATATGTAGATACAAATAAATGTATTCACGGAGTCTCGTTCTATTATTCGGCGATCATAGTCACGTCATCGATCGATTGATTGAAATTTGAACGCTTTTACGTGCGTAGATTTCAATCTTTTAATATGATGTAACTAACGATCCTTCACTTTTACTTACTTATACTTTGACTCGAATTTTCGCTAATGGTAATCATTAAATAAAAATTTGAACGAAAGATTATTTTTAAGCACGGGTTTGGTGCCAGCTGCTCGTCAACTGGTGAGATAGTAAAAAAGGTGGTAGGTGGTAGGTAAAGGTGGTAGGACCCCTTGTGAGTCCGCGCGAGTAGGTACCACCACCCTGCCTATTTCTATCGTGAAGCAGTAATGCGTTTCGGTTTGAAGGGTGGGGCAGCCGTTGTAACTATACTTGAGACTTTAGAACTTATATCTCAGGGTGGGTGGCGCAATTTGCGTTGTAGATGTCTATGGGCTCCAGTAACCACTTAACACCAGGTGGGCTGTGAGCTCGTCCACCCACCTAAGCAATAAAAAAAATAAAAAAATAATAATAAAATACTCTCACACCATAATAAAATTATTAATATATTATAGTATAGTAAAAGTCGATCGACTTTCACAGAATATCCAGAACTTCAGCTATTTTACTTCTACTTTCACGATATATAAATAAATAGTCATAACGTTAACAATTGTTGTCTCATTTCACGTTTCTATTCCTGTTTGTCGCGAGAATATGCGAGTCACGACATCCTGATATATTAAATCTGTTGATGAGATTCGTGACTCGCAAGATGCCCGTTGCCTGTTCAATATTTATGAATCCAAGGAGTAGTAATGATAATTTCGTAGACATTACTCCTTGAAGTATGCGATAGCCCAATTTTCGAAGATTGAAATGAGCCAAGTCAAGTCGCTGTTCAAAATAGTCTACTATCGGTGGGGTGTACCGTCAGAAGTCAGAATTCGGCCATGACCATCATACGTGTTGGTTTGAAGGGTAGATTACTATATTATAATACGGATGCAAATTCAAGAAGAATTATATGAACTTGTTAACAATAAAACATAAACGTCATATACAAAACTACACCGTTATAATACATCAAAATAATCAGTTACAACACACACTAAGCACGACGTATCCAATATTTTAAGATTAAATCGGTTTAATATTTTTGAAATGGTTTGTAATTTTTTTAAATAAAAGTTCCACAAAATTATTAGCGCCTCAGGCGCGTTACAGATGCCGGTGAGTAGATGCAAAACTCATTATAAGCCACGATTAAAAAGTGCCTATCGCAAGGAATGCTTCTTGGATGATGACTGAGGTAATTAGGCATATCCTTGTATTGATTTCTATGGAAGCTCATTACAATGTTACTCTCAAAAGAGACCGAGTAAACTGGTAATTTCACCGTAGTATTACATTATAAATAGGATTGAACAATTTCATTGCATCGAATATTGAAAAACATGCATATTCATTTATTAGACTTTTAACGAAAATAAATATCATCCAATAACATCGAGCTAGCAATTTCCAGAAAACATTTCCACCCTCAGGACCTGAAATCCATTTCAAAATACTTCCTATGATGTTTGTATGTATTTCAGTGACGCCTGTGTAAGAAAAAGTGCCGTATCTAAGTAATAGTACCTTTTTATTGTTTGTGTATACTTAAATCAGCTACATCGGAGATTTTTTAATCCCTTTTCAAGCAGTACATATTATATGGTGTCAACAGAAAATATTTATTTAGGTACTGATTTCAACATAAAACTATCTGTTCCGTAAACCGGCAATATACTAGAAGCCACTGCAAGCAAAATAGGTAAAGTTTAATTTTCGAAAAAGGTTATTCTCTTAGGAGATACGAGTCAGTAATCATGGACTTGTCTTCCTTTCTTGCAAATAGTTTAAAAACAAAAATTTTTATTTAATGCTAAAAACAAATTACTTTAAGATGATTGTATTGAGAACGTCTTTAAATAATTACTTTAAATTCTATGGAATACATTTTTTTTTTTCAATATATGTGCATCTCATAAATGATTGGAAACCGTTTAAAATACTTACGTTGTGCGACCAATAGGAGAAATCAAAGTTGAAGCTTTTGGCGCCTTCCTTGCTACCGGGAGGTGCCTTGGGATTGACGATAACTGAAACAAGATAAGCAATGTTAAATAGATTCATCTTTGTTACAGAATCATACTGAATCTGGTTTAGGACTGTTGAAAGGCCATCTCGTGAGCCCTGACGCGTAGCTACCACCGCCCGCCCTGCTTATTTCTGCCGTGAAGCAGTAAAACGTTCGGGTTTGAAGGGTGACGGTCGTTATATTAGGCAATTGAAATTTAAGCCTGAAAGTGGGTGGCGATATTCACGTGGCGATGTCTAGGTGCTTCGGTACCACTCAAAACCAGATGAGCGGAGAGCCCTTCTGTACATTAAAAACAAAATATTAGAAGTAAAATTAAACTAAGTTCCGCAGTGACTATCCCTAAAAACATAATATTGTTAAACTCGTTTTGTACGTTAATAGTACCATAACAATAATATTCACTGAACAACCAACATAACTGTCTAATGTTACAATCCAATAATTCATACCGAGGGGCGATATTATGCGTCTTTTCTGCAAATTTACAGGTTAACCATTTAAACAAGTCTTTCCCAAAGTGGACGATAAAGGCCCCTTGTGGGCGCCACAGACCTAAAGGGGGTCGTAATATACCCAGAAAAAAAAGGGGCGTTGTGTAGAGGCGTAGGAGGCGATTTGTAATGTCATATAGGAGGACACTTCGACATCGACTGAGCTCTCGCTATAGTGGTTTTTAAGTCGGTGAAAAAATGGGGGCGCTAAGAAAATAATTTATTCTCAAACTGGGCAGTAGACAAAATAAGTTTGGGATCCCCTGACTTAAACTTAAAAATTTGGAAAAAATATCAAAACAATTTTTTTTTTTTCAGCAATTCGATTGGAGTATACTTAATTGAAGTACAATTGAATATATTGAAATAATTGTTGATACTAATACCAAATAAAACGGACCTTTAATTACAAAGATAAAAATCGAAATATCGCTTAAACCAAAGAGCCTTTCACACGTCGATGTGCAGACACATTTATTACGTACAAAAAACATTCGTTTACATTTATATTCGACTAGCTGACCCGGCAAACTTCGTAGTGCCTCAATCGATAAATAAAAGACCTAAACTTTTGTACAAAATAAACTTAAAACAAACAAAAGGAATCCATCCGACGGGGGACACATCAAAGGAAAACAAAATTGTTATTTTTATTTAATTCCGATCATTTTCATGTTTATCTACCTTTTAAACCTTCTCTGGACTTCCACAAATAATTCAAGACCAAAATTAGCCAAATCGGTCCAGCCGTTCTCGAGTTTTAGCGAGACTAACGAACAGCAATTCATTTTTATATATATAGAAGATAGAAGATAGATAGATTTACTAATCTCATTCGCATGTATTAACACAGTAATGACAAAAGACCTTGTAGTTACCGAGACTTATCGACTTGTTTATGCATAAATTTATCAAAACGAGAACCATAAAAACAAAGAGGCGAATATGCAATTTCATTTCATTTTGGCAGCCCCTCAGATTATAATCTCGTTCTCATCGTAGTACCATAACGTCTATATAAACAGATCGCCGATCGTTCGGGTGACGTCGTGAGCGAGACGCGACGTATCGACCGGCGTCGGTCTCCGCGTCCAACTCGCATTCAATCCTACCTATATTCATTCGCAGCACTGAAACGTTTCAATTATATAGTACCTTTATTTTTCCAACCAATTCTAGTAGTCTCGAGGGGTTATTGTAGATTCACCGAGCTAGTAGGTGAGCTCACGGGGCTCAAGCCGGGAGTGTTGCTAACACTGGCCCTAGCAAGAGCAGTGCTTCGCAGAATCTACCGGATCGGAAACGCGACCCACTGAGAAGATCCGGCAAGAAACTCAGTGGGCTGTGTTTATGGGTTAATATGTACTACGAATAAACTATAACTAAAAACTAAAGTTTTAATATAACTAAACTAAAAATTATCTATATATGTATTAATACATGAAACAAAATATTTGTACCCCTTTTTAAGAAAATTGCGCGGACGGAGGAGTATGAAATTTCTCACCATTATAGAGGAGTGCACAATGTTAATTTTTTTTATAATTATGCATAAAAAATACATTAAATCAATAATAAAAAAAAACATTACACACACTACCATGTATTTGACACAACACGTATATAAATGCTTATTGTCAAATTTTTGTTATTGTTTAAAATCCGTGGTCAAATTGCGAATAGATTAATATTATTTGTCTATAATATTATTTGTCTATAGGGTAGTCTTGGCGAAATCTATTATTATAAAGTCTTTGACAATAGAATCATAATAATGTTAAAACTTATAATTTAAATTCATCATTATGGTCGAATTTCGACCGCTGAGTGACCACTAGTAATATTAAATATGTGAAGATTGTATCGTATGTTTGTTAATCAATCAGGCCTAAAGGCCTAACCAATTTAGGTGAAATTTCGCATAAAGGTTTTTTTAAAATTGGATTAACACTTATTCTTTTTAAATGACTGACTGTTTAAATGACAATGTATTCGCTGAAACGTAGTTTTATTATTCGATTTAACCATAGACCTTTATTGGATTTTACGTTCTAAGTCGACTGGAAGTCTATGGCCAGAGTGACACATTCGACTTCTTATTAATCTATACAAATAAATAAAATTGGTTTTATTATTATTATATTATTGACCTTGTAGGCAGACGAGCATACGGCCCACCTGTGGGTGAGTAGTTACCGTCGCCCATGGACTTCAGCAATGCCAGGGGCAAAGCCAAGCCGCCGCCTACCGCTTAATACTCTCCACAAGCCTCTTTTAAAGAAGAACATGTCATAGCGCTCGGGAAATCGGTGGAGGGGAGCTCATTCCATAACCGGATGGTACGTGGCAAAAAATACCTCTGGAAACGCACTGTCGATGGACGCAGCGGTTCCAGATGATATGGACGAACTCTGCTCCGATGGCGGGAGGTGCGTTGATAAAAAGAAGTTGAGGGAATCATCACAAACAATTCCTCAGAGCATTCCCCATGGAACATACGGTACAAAATACAGAGAGAACCGAAGTCCCTCCGCAGACCCAGAGGTTCCAAACGATTCGTGAGAATGGGATTATCGACAATCCGAAGTGTCTGTCTTGTCTGTTTGTAATTAAAATAACCCCAATTTTTTACAATTTTTGTCAATCTGCCTGTTTTTTCCGCCTAATCTCTGGAAAGGCTGGGCCGATTTTGACGGAACTTTCACTGGCAGATAGCTAATGTAATAAGGAAGCAACTTAGGCTACTTCTATTTCAGAAAATTTCTAAAATTTTTACAAAATAATGTTTTGTTAAATTCCACGACGCCAAAGTCACAGACACTGCTAGTTCTTTATAAATTCAAAACTGAATTTAGGAAAGCCGCAAAGCACATCTACTTATACAATAGATGTCAAATAATACATTTTATAATCAAAGACGAAGCGTAGGACCCGTGGAAATCACAAATGAATGCCCCAATGCCCCAGTCTACATCAAGATAGATGTGAGGTCATACTCTCCACAGTATTGTAATATTAACAGATAGTTAGGTAATGCAAGAACTAATAATTTAAATGAACCATAAATATTTTAAGGCGGCTTGTGCAATATCAATAAACTCGATATAGGCATAAAATAAATTGTATTTAGCGTATTGTACTAAATTTCTATTTAGAGAATGTTATGTGAATTTAGTTTTTTAAAACATAATATATTCATTTCAATGAAATTCGTTCGGAAAATCGACCGTACAGATCTGAACATTTCCTAACCAAACAAAGAATGGTCGTCCGCGGTGTTGCTCTATCGAACATTCCGGAAACGACGGGCGTTTGTATCGAACGGTTATTTCAAAGTCGAAATACAAAGAGTGTTGCGTGTCGTTTAAACTATTGTTAGGCTTTGTAAGTATTTTTTTATTTGAAGCCTTCTTGTAATTCCTGTTATTAAAATCTCTTGCCTGCCTTTAATAATATGAGAATCTGGTGGAAAATAATTCCCAATTCTATAAGCTAATAATGAAATCCAGCCATGCTCCGTCTGCTCCATGCTGTCTATCGTGATTTATTTTATTTTATTGCTTAGATGGTTGGACGAGCTCACAGCCCCCTGGCGTTAAGTAGTTACTGGAGCCCATAGACATTTACAACGTGAGATTGAGACATAAGTACACAACATTGAGATATAAGTTCTAAGGTCTCAGTATAGTTACAACGGCTGCCCCACCCTTCAAACCGAAACGCATTACTGCTTCACGGCAGAAATAGGCAGGGTGGTGGTACCTATCCGCGCAGACTAAAGAGGTCCTACCACCTGTATAAATGAACGAAACCTACTTATTTGATGAAACTACTTTGGCTGTATGTACTATACGCTAATGTCAGTTTGACGTAAACCTTGCCTAAACAAACAACAAATATTCGAAGTTTAAAATGATTCGGATAAATCATGACCGAACCAATAAACTAAAAAAAAAAAAAAAACTTTAAACAATCACTTCTATAAATTAGATTTACAATTCATCACTATCGTGACGTCGGTATATTGCATCAATCGTATGTCGGTGAAACATTACTGGTTCGTTTCATTACTCAAGTAACATCGATCAGGCTGCTACTCCGTAGTTGGCATTGTATTATCTAAAGTGCTATTCGAACAATATGCGCATAATTCATACATCTCCCCGCTACAAATGGAGTGTCTAACAAAGGAGAGCGTTGCGAACATAAACGGGCTGCTGAACAAAGGTCAAAGATCGCTGATTCCGTGAAGGGAGTGATTGTTCTTTTACGATCCGGAAAATAGGATGGGGCGGCTTTAGTACGTTAAAATGGTTCATTGAACTTAAAACGCGATTACAACGAAGCGCATACATATAATTTAAATTAATAAAATAACTAGCTGACCCGGCAGACTTCGTAGTGCCTCAATCGATAAAGAAAAGACCTAACCTTTTGTATTAAATAAACTTAAAACAAACAAAAAGAATCCGTCCGACGGAGACAAATTAAAGGAAAAAACAAAATT